AGATAATTTTACCAATTCACAACTTCTTTGAAAAAAAAGAATGCATGCTTGACACTACAAACAACAATCACAAATCACAACACAGCCACATTCCAGTGCCTGATTCACCACAAAGAGAAATATCTAAGCTACACACATTAGACACAGCTTAAGCATTTATAAACACGTATGGGAGAGAATAGAAGAGAATATTAAATTCACATATAAAAAACATCGATAATCACACAACTACTTGTGGAATGACAAAACATAAATAAAAGTATGATGTGACGCAGGTGGCTAGTCTTGCTAAACCACAAAAAAAGAACAATACATAACAAACAGGCTCTACCAACACTTAGACTGGAACGCTAACAATACAGTGATATGTCTTATAAGTAAAAACAAAAAATTCAATCCGAGTATACTGAAATAAAAATACCACATTATACAAGAAAAATAATAATACCAATCAATATATTTCCCCTATATATATATAAATATATGCAAAGCCACCAGGAAGGCTAACTGAAATATACATATGAAACATATAGCACATACAGGGAGGCTTTATAATCTCATCAACCCATAACGGTAGGCTCACCTGCGCTAACTGTGTTTCCTGACCTATATACAACGAGAGCGGAGAGATCATATATGAGAATTAAGACTATAAGCACCACATACCAACAAAAGAGAGATATAACACAGGCTGATGGAGCAACAAGAGAGATATATAGCAAAGCATATTAATGACAGAGATTTACTATTAAAAACAGAATATTATAAATACATGCAAAATATATATGCAACATTCACTCCATACAAGTCAAATACTATAATATCACATCAATATTATAGATATTAAAATATCAATAATACCCATAACGACAAATCAAATCTTATAATAAACACCAAACACACACAAAGAAACAACCTCATATATACATATATAACAATAACACGTTTTCACTATATCCTCACAACACACAGGAACACACTGGCACTACTACTGTAATAGTTTTTATCTCTAAAGTTTGCCCTACATTCTGGACATGTTCATATATAAAAACCAGAAATTACATATATATGAGTAGTTCTTATGATATTGAGCTTACAATCTTTTAATATATATATAATAATAATACAGAGTACATAGAGCTATGCACATACAACAAATAAGACATCAAGAACACATATATACTGGAGCGAAACTGAGTCAGGAGGACTCACCTGTGAGGCAGAGGAGTTCCAGAGACCAGCCTGAGCAACATACGAGAGAACCTGTCCTCTAAAGCAAAATTTTAAATTAGCTCAGCGTATGGGTCGGTGCGAGTGCCTATAATCCCAGCTACTCAGGAAGCTGAGGTGGGAGGATGGCTTGAGCACAGGAGGCTGAGGCTGCAGTGAGCCATGATTGCTCCACTGCACTCCAGCCTGGGTAACATAGCAAGACAGTGACTCTAAAAAAGATTAAAAACAACAACAACAAAAAAAATAGATGAGGTCTCACTATGTTGCTCAGGCTGATCTCAAATTCCTGGGCTCAAGTGATCCTCCTGCCTCAGCTTCCTAAAGTGTTAGGATTACAGGTGTGAGCCACCACACCCAACTTAAATGTCTCAGCAGTTATATACTTGCTGATTTTATTTTATTTTTTGAGACAGGATCTTTCCCTGTTGCCCAGGCTGGAGTGCAGTGGCACAATCATGGCTCACTATAGCCTCGATGTCCTGGGGTAAAGCAATCCTCCCACCACAGCTTCCCAAGAATCTGGGACTATATATGCAACACACCATGCCTGGCCAATTAAAAAAAATTTTTTTTTATAGAGATGGAGTCTCACTATGTTGCCCAGGCTGGTCTCAAACTCCTGGCCTTAAGCAATCCTCCCATGTCAGCCTCCCAAAGTGCTGGAATTACAGATATGAGCCACTGCACCCAGCTGGTATTTATTTATTTATTTATTTATTTATTTATTTATTTATGACAGAGTCTCGCTCTGTCGCCCAGGCTGGAGTGCAGTGGTGTGATCTTGGCTCACTGCAACCTCTGCCTACCAGGTTCAAGTGATTCTCCTGCCTCAGCCTCTCAAGTAGCTGGGATTACAGGTGCTTGCCACCATGCTCAGCTAATTTTTGTATTTTTTTAGTAGAGATGGGGTTTCACCATGTTGGCCAGGCTGGTCTCCAGCTCCTGACCTCAAATGATCCGCCCACTTCAGCTTCCCAAAGTACTGGGATTACAGGGGTAAGCCACCATGCCTGGCCTACTTCATGTATTGATATAATAATGTTCAATGTATCAAAATCAGGAAACAACATTGATACAATGATGTTCAATGTATCAAAACCAGGAAAAAACATTGATACAATAATTTATCTAGAGACCTTATTCAAACTTCAACAATTAGGCTAGGCATGGTAGCTCATGCCTGCAATTCCAGCACTTTGGGAGGTTAAGGCAGAAGGATCCCTTAAGCCCAGGAGTTCAAGGCCAGCCTGGGCAATATAACAAGACCCTGTCTGTACCAAAAAATAAAAAATAAACAATAAACAAAAATTAGCTGGGTGTAATGGCACGTGCCTGCACCTACTTGGAAGGCTGAGGTGGGAGGATTGCTTGAGCCCAGGAGTTTCAGGCTGCAGTAAACTCTGATCTTGCCACTGCAGTCCCTCCTGGGCAACAGAGAAAGACCCTGTCTCAAAAAATAAAATAAAGTCAGCAAACATAAAACTGCTGAGACATTTAGGCTGGGAGTGGTGGCTCACACCTGTAATCCCAACACTCTGGGAAGCTGAGGCAGGAGGATCACTTGAGCCCAGGAATTTGAGACCAACTTGGGCAACATAGATCTCATCTCTTTTTATTTTTATTTTAGAGTCATTGTCTTGCTGTGTCACCCAGGCTGGAGTGCGGTGGTGCAGTCACAGCTCACTGCAGTCTCGACCTCCTGAGCTATGATTTGAGCAACTGCACTCCAGCTTGGGTGACAGATGGAGACCCTGTCTCTAAAAATAAATAAATAAAGCATCACCAACTATTATACTAATGTCCTTCGTAGCTCAAGAAAAAAGATTTTCTCCTGTATGTTGACTTTTTTCTCTTAAAATATATATCTTAGAGGTCATTCTACATCAGCAGTCATAGATTTATCTCATTATTTTTCATGGCTGCATCTTTTTCTTAAACATAGTACGTAAAAATTCTAGAAGCCATCTATTTCCCATTAACTTTTTTTGTTTGTTTTGTTTTTTTGTCATGGGACCATACTTCTTTTTAGACCTACTGAATGAGCTCTTTCAAAGTTCAAGTTCAAAATGTAATCTCTTTTGAATTTTCATTCTCCCTTGGTTTGTTTTCTCATGTCTCAGCAAAATGCTCCTTTAATACCTGGCCTTTTTACAAGTGCTCACACTGCTTAAGGTTTTGCTTTTCCAGGACTGGTCTTTATTCTTATCAGAATGACTTGTGTACCCTTTTTGACAAGGTCAAGTAAGAAGACAGTACGGCTTCGCCTCATGACTCAGAGCACAGGTTCTAGAATCAGACCCAGTGTCAAATCCCACTTTAGTTCCTTACCAGCTGTGTGACCTTGGGCAAGATACCTACCTTCTCTGAGCCTCCGGTTTTTTTGTCCATGAAATAGAAATAATTTACCTCAGAGTTTGTCATGAAGATTAGATAAGCTAAAATATACAAAGTTTTTAGCCTAGTACTGGTACTTAATAGTCACGCAGTAAATACCAGTTGGGTGAATACCTTTTTCAGCAGCTTTCCTCATTCCCAATAACTTATGCTGATGAATATAGCTATTCATAGTTTGACTATATGCCCCGTTGCGGAAAATAATGCAAGGGCTTCCCCCTCCTCCACCCTGGGCATTACCCCTCAGAAAAGACAGAATGATTTTTATAAATAGTTTCTCGTGTTGCAGGGACTTTCTCTCTTCGTTTATTTTGACAAACATGATGTCTTTTGGGAAAGGCACAGCCTGCAATGAAGTCAGTGATAAAAAGTGCTGGTAGAGGATGTTTGATGAAATTAGTAAAACAGGCTGGGCATGGTGGCACATGCCTGTAATCCCAGCAACTTGAGAGAATGAGGCAGGAAATTGCTTGAACCTGGGAGGCGGAGGTTGCAGTGAGCTGAGATCACGCCATTGCACTCCAGCCTGGGTGACAGAGCAAGACTCCGTCTCAAAAAAAAAAAAAAAAAAGGAAAATAGTAATGAAAACAGAAGGAAGAAAGAAATTTGGCAGCATTTAGTAAGTATGTAACACAGGATATAGGAGAGGATCTGTGGCAAGGGGGGTGAACCAGGAGGAACCAGGCTGGGCCATACTTTGTGGGTTTGCAGTTCTCATGGGGGTGTGTCTGCCCCATCTGCTCTGCCCATATCTCCTGGCTATTTGTGTCAGGAGCTTTAGAACTAAGGGTGAAAATATTTTTGTTAAGTATAGAAGAATGAAATATTTTAAATCTCTCTGACTGCCTTGTCATTGGTTTTTTTTTGTTTGTTTTTTGTTTTTTTTTTTTTGGTAACATCTTGAGAACTCCTGTCATTCAAAGGGGTGCTCTTGGCTGGGCGCTGTGGCTCACACCTGTAATCCCAGCATTTTGGGAGACCAAGTCAGGCAGATCACCTGAGTTTGGGCATTTGAGACCAGCCTGGCCAACATAATGAAACCCCATCTCTACTAAAAACACAAAAATTATCCAGGCGTGGTGGCGGGTGCCTGTAACCCCAGCTACTTTGGAGGTTGAGGCAAGAGAATCACCTTAACCCAGGAGGCAGACATTGCAGTGAGCCAAGATCACATCACTACACTCCAGCCTGGGCGACTGGGTGAGACTCCAAAGAGGTGCTCTCAATCGATGTTTCTTGGTTGAATTAAATTTTCAAATTACCCTGTGTCTTGTTAGTCTGGGAGTCTAGATGTAGGTTTTAAGATCTTTCTGATTCTTCATATAAACTTCATTATCATCCTGGTAGGGCAACAAAATAGATGTTGAGTAGTATGGGTGTGTATAAATAAAGTGAGATGCCTGGGAACACTGTCACCCTGGATGGGTGTCATGAGTTCCTGTTGTTAAGGCTGCCTGTAGGAGGCAACCTTTGGGGGTTTTCCTGTATTTGAAAGGTTTCAACATTCATCACTTCAGGGAGGAGACAGAGCACTGGCAAGGCATGAGCGATCTCTAGAGGACACAGCAATTAATAGGCAAGGCCCAGCCCAGCTCATGCTAACCTGGCTCACTGTCCATATTTTTCAGTGACCATGGACCCAAACGTGTTGAGAAGTGATGTCTTCGTTGAGTTTTTAAAACTGGCACAACTGGTAAGCTTGCTCTTCTTTAATGGGGCCATCATTCCTCTTCAGGACACTCTTCATGAACCATGTGTGCACTGGCCACAGCCCCACAGAGCCTGGACTTGGGCAAAATATATTCATTTCAAGTCAATTGGGGGATGGTTCCTATTTTGTCCTTTTGGAGGTTTAGACTTTAGATGGAAAGTGAAGTGTGTCACTTGACATTTGGCTCATTTTATTAAGTAGATCCCTTTTTCTGTAGCCTAAGCATCATACATCTCAAAACAGGACATGAAGAAGAGGACCTTTGAGTATAGTACAAGAACTACAGCCTTTGTCATTAAGGGTTCCCGTAACATGTCTCTGACCCTGCTTCTGTAGCTGAGATTTCCAAGTGGGCCACAGTGAAGACATCAGGAAAGCAGTCCATGCCGGCTATTCCTTGTGTATTCTCTACTTCTACCTTTATTGTAAATGAATCATGGAGAAAATTCAACATAAACAGAATGACATACAGCAACTCCCTTTCCTTTGTTGATCTAAAGAATCATGGGTCACTTGCTCCCTAGGCTGAAACTGTTAAGTACATTTGTTCAGAACAACACTCATTCTAATGGCACATAAAGAAACATTGTTATGCCTGTATGTATGAGCTTGGCTGGAAAAGCTCTGAAAGAATTGATGTTCTGCAGTAATATGATAATAGTTAACTGGATCCTTAGCCAGGGGAGGAAGGATCAGATTTGCAAAAACTGGAACACATTTCATTCATTTATTTACTCATTTATAAAATAAAATCCTATTGGGTTCTCAGAAAAAGTCTCATGTAGACAGGGGTTCAAATGTGTTGGGATATTTACTGGCCCACTCAACCTGAGAAATGGCCCTAGAGCCTTCTGTTCTGTAGTGGTTCATATTTTCACATTTGCTTGATGGTTTGTATATACATATACTTTGTTATTCTTTGAAAAGTTTGTTGTGGAAGTGGTGATGATAGTAAAATTCAAATAGCACAAGTGTATACAATGAAAAGTAACTTTTCTTCCCTTATGATTCCCCTCCTCAGTGACAACTGTTGTTTATCGTCTAATAGTTTATAGTGCTCTTTTGCTATACATACATGCACATATATAAGCATGCATATATACACATACATGCACATATATATACATACATGCACACACACAACCATGTGTCACTTAACAATATGGATTCCTTCTGACAAATGCATCATTAGGCGATTTTGTTGTTGTGTGAACACCATGGAGTGTACTTACACAGACCTAGACGGTAGAGCCTACTGCCCCTAGGCTACAAACCTGTATACTACGTTACAGTACTTCATACTGTAGACAATTGTAACACCACGGTATTTCTGTATCTAGACATAGAAAAGGCATGGTAAAAATATGGTACTATCATCTTATGGGACCACTGTCATATGTGCAGTTTGCTGTTCACCAAAATGTCATTAAGGGGTACATGACTATACACACACACACACACACACACACACACACACTTTATTTTATAAACAAGCGCACACTCAACACACTTTTTGAACTTGCTTTTTAATGACTGGGTGCTGTGGCTCACATCTGTAATCCCAGCACTTTGGGAGACTGAGGTGGGCAGATCAGCTGAGGTCAGGAGTTCGAGACCAGTCTGGCCAATGTGGTGAACCCCTGTCTCTACAAAAATAAAAATTCAGCCGGTTGTGGTGGCTCATGCCTACAATCCCAGCTACTTGGGAGGCTGAGACAGAATTGCTTGAACCTGGGAGGTGGAGGTTACAGTGAGCTGAGATCGTGCCACTGCAATCCAGCCTGGGTGACAGAGCAAGACTCTGTCCCGAAAAAAAAAATTTTTTTTAATTGACCTTGCTGTTTAAAACCTATGTCTTGCAGATCGTTCTATATCTGCACATATGATGGTACATTGACTTTAGTTCAGTCATCTTTTGGGGGTGCATTATGGGTTTTGCTTTCCGTCATTCATGGGATCATTCAGTGTTTCTGAGCTTTGTCTTATATATCCTTGTTTGTTTGTTTTTCAGACGGAGTTTCACTCTTGTTGCCCAGGCTAGGGTGCAGTGGCATAATCTTGGCTCACCGCAACCTCCACCTTCCGGGTTCAAGTGATTCTATTGCCTCAGCCTCCCAAGTAGCTGGGATTAAAGGCATGAGCCACCACACCCAGCTAATTTTTGTATTTTTAGTAGAGACAGGATTTTTACCATGTTGGTCAGGCTGGTCTTGAACTCCTGACCTTGTGATCTTCCTGCCTCAGCCTCCCAAAGGGCTGGGATTACAGGCATGAGCCACCCTGCCCAGCCAGTTTTGTATATCTTATTTTCCTGATAATTTGAAAGGTTTTATACCTGCTTTTAGTTCTTCAATATTTTGCCTTTGTGACTTCATACAAAAGCCTTATACCTCTAGCTGTGTTTTTCAGTGCCTCGTTTTACTTTTTCTAACACAATTTTCACTTTTGTAATGGCTTTATTTTCCTCTTCCATTTCTTCCATGAACTTTGCCAGCTCACTTTTATATCTTTTTGTTATCTTATTTCTTGAGGCTTTTATCTATTCTTTGAGGTCTTCATTCAGAAACACCTTCTTTTTATTAACCCATCCATCATTTTCATCTGCTTAATGATGCAATTTTTTTGGTATATGTTTTTTGCCTTTCATTGGTCACGTTTCTTTCCTCCTTTCTTGCAGGATTTTTACATAGGTCTCTTGCCAGTTATGTTGAGGTCATCAGTCAGCTTTGAAAGGGGTTGCTGTTGTGAGCTAGCTGTTTGCTGACACAGTATTGGGGAGGGGGCCTGAGTTGAATTCATTGAATCTGTTGTATTTCCAGTTCTTGTTTCTTGTTTCTGAGCACTTTCTTATGAACACTCTACCCTAAGGCCTGAGCAGACTGTCTAGCAGCAAAGCTTTAAACCACAGCTCCTCATACCATGATCTAGTCTTCTAATATTTTGATTGACTAAGATCAGCATCCCCTGACCTGGTTTAGGGGTTAAGAGTTCAGGCTAAGTAGTGAGATGGCCTCGATTCAAATTTTGGCTACCCTACTTTTGATTTATATGACTTGGGTCAATTTACTTAGGCTTTTTGTGCCACAGTTTCCCCATCTGTAAAATGGGGAGAAGAGCTCCTGTCTCTTGGGGTTGCTTTGAGGATTAAATTAACTGATGCCCTAAAAACATATCATCTGGCACAATGTTAATAGATGTGAGGTAGTCACTCCTTCCGCCTCCCGGGTTCAAGTGATTCCCTGTCTTAGCCTCCCGAGTTGCTGGGACTACAGGCGCGTGCCACCACGCCCGGCTAATTTTCGTATTTTTAGTAGAGATGGGGTTTCTCCATGTTGGTCAGGCTGGTCTTGAACTTCTGACCTCAGGTGATCTACTCATCTTGGCCTTCTAAAGTGCTGGGATTATAGGCGTGAGCCACCACGCCCGGCCAAGACATAGGTTTTAAAAAGCAAAATCTTAATGCCAGTCCCTTTTCTTTCCCCAGCCATGCTGAGAGATTGCCTTTTGCAAAGATGGAGTGTCTGTATGTCTCTTCAGCATCCCTGCCACTAGGTGGTGTCCAATGGGGCCCGGAGTAGCGCTCCCAGACAGGCTGAGCACCACGTGATTAACTGCTTTCAGGCAGCTTATGCATTGCTTGAGTTCTGCAGCACTTTGAGACTTCTAATTCCCTCCTTCCTGACCAGGTTCAATTTTCACTGCACTTGGCAGCCCTTCTGAAAACCTCAGGCTATTTGTAAGTTTCTTCAAGGATGCTTTCCTTTTCATTGTTTTCTGTCTGCCTCTAAAGAGAGGTCAGGACAGAGGTAACAGTCACTTCCCAGAGCCTTAACACGTTTTAAAATATGTGCTCTTTTTGAGTTGAATTGGGTTGAATTTAACAACTGGAGAAATCTTTTAATTTTTCAAGGAGATCAGTGCGCTTTGTTGCTATTCTGCTCTGAGGCAGAGGAATGTCTAACAGCCATGGTGCCCATCCAGGAAAATCCATATGCAGATTCACCGGGCTGAAACCTCATCACATGCAATGATGGGCCACTGTCATCTCTCTACAAGGGAAATGGGAAACATTCTCAAGAATGTTCCTCTGCCTCAGAGCAGAATAGCAACAAAGCACATATTTTAAAACGTGTTAAGGCAGCCCATGTATTGGCAGATTTTGAGGTTTCTTTAAAATGAATGTGTTTTTGTTAGTTTTCTAGCATGAATTGTGTTTTTTCATTTCTACTGCATCATAGATCAGTACGGCAGCTGGGCCAAGCGCATGGCAAATGGCTCACACCTGTAATCCCAGAACTTTGGGGGGGAATTGCTTGAGGCCAGGAGTTGAAGACCAGCCTGGGCAACATAGTGAGACTCTGTCTCTACAAAAAAATAATAATAAGAGATATTTAGATGGGGGTAGTGGCATGTGTCTATAACCCCAGCTACTCTGGAGGCGGAGGCAGGAAGATTGCTTGAGCTCAGAGCTTTGAGGCCACAGTGGGCTATGATCATCCCACTGTACTTGAGCCTGGGCAATACAGCAAGACCCTGACTCAAAACAAACAAAAAAAGATAGCAGCTTATTTAATGTTTTGTTTTTTATACAAGCCAGTTCTACCAGGTTGACTTTTCCCCACAATTGGTTTTTGTATTGCTTTTACATTTCATTAATTTTGTAAGTAATACATTAAAACATTCTAGTAAAATTCAAATATCACAAATAGAGCCAAATTGTTCTTTGATTTCCACTCTAAACTTGTTTGATCTGTTTTGTGGTTGCTTTGATCTTATCACACAAAGATCTTTTGATGCCATCAATTCTCCTCTTTATTATATTGCTCTGAAATGTTTGTTTACTTACCAAAGCAAAATGTGCTTATAGTTAGGAAAATGAAATAGATATCATGGATGGAATAAAAGTTTAAAATCTAAAAATAAAAGTGAAATAGTGCTAAAAAGGATTATAACACTCCCCTGTCCTCCAGAGGCAATGACTTTCAAATCATACAGCCTTTTCTTCAGATATTTAAAAATATGGAGGTTAATTTTATATATATATATCTTATTCTTTATCTTATTTTTTCTAGATACAGGATCTCACTATGTTGCCCAGGACTCCATCTCCTGGGCTCAAGTGATCCTTCCTCCTCAGCTTCCCCAGGAGCTGGGATTATAGGTATATGCCATAGCACCCAGCTATTATTCTTCAATTTTTAGACCCTACCCACTGACTGTAAGGGAGGTGAGGATTTCAGCTTTCTTATGTCACTTCTTCTATTCTTCCCTTCTTCCCAACTTTAATTTTTAAAAATTAAGTCCTTAGTCAACACCTTCCCCTTGCCCCCGCCGCATCCCCCAGCACCCCCACCAGCTGGAGTTAAAACTGAATCACTTAAAAGAAAAAAAATATGCTTAGTTGTCTCAAAACATATGACTAACTCCTTCCGTTATATAGCAGTGCTGAAGACAGAATTTTCCCCATAGTCAAGCACATCAGGTTCTTTCCCTTGGAGATGATCTACCCAAAGTCTCTGACTTTCTGTTGTTTGCTGGTGAGTAGGAGCCGGTAGAGAAGGAGAAGTGGAAGATGGCAGTATGCAGGAGGGACCTTGATAATCAGTGGCTCCAAGTCCTTCTGGAAGGAGAACTGTACAAGGTCTGGGATCAGGTGGAGGAAGGGCACCTTTTAAATTGAGTGTAGGACAAAGAAAGATAGAGCAAGGCTACAGGCAGGGTCCAAGGCTGGACGGTGAGTGGAAGTCGAGTAAGTTCCCATCTTGCTGTTTTCTCTGTGACTAATAGGAAGTGAGGTTAGCTGGTGGGAATGAGGGAGGAGGAGACTGTGGCTGGAGTCCTGGGGAAAGTGGATGAGGTTGACGATGAATGTGAGTCAGAATTCCACTGGGTGGGGCAGCTGTTTGGTTTTCTGTTCTCCCCCAAATCCCATGTTGAATTGTAGTGCCCAGTGTTGGAGGTGGAGCCTGGCAGGAGGTGATTGGATCATGGGTGGTTTCTCATGAATGGTTTAGCACCATCCCCTTGTTGCTGTTCTTGTGACAGTGAGTGAGTTCTCACGAGATCTGGTTGTTTAAAAGTGTGTGGCACCTCCACCCACCCTTGCTCCTGCTCATGCCTGCTTGCGCTTCGCATTCCACCATGATTGTAAGCTTCCTGAGGCCTTCCCAGAAGCTGAGTAGCTGCCAGCATCATGCTTCCTGTACAGCCTGCAGAACAGTGAGCCAATTAAACCTCTTTTCTATATAAAAATTACCGCCTCTCAGGTATTTCTTTATAGCAAGGTGAGAACAGAGTAATCAAACCAGTAGGGTGTGACAGAAGGAGGAAGGAAAGTGAGGGCAGTTGTCAACTGATTTGTCCATCCTGGCCAATGGCTGCGGGTCGGGTGGCTCTTTAACCTCTTGCCTCCCTTGATGTGCAGGTTCTCTACTGAGAGGAGATTACGTCAGCCAAAGCCAGTGCTGTGACATCAAAACAGAACATTGGAGGCTTTAACCTTAATATTCTCTTCTTACATATCTGTAGGATAAGTATGCAGTTGTGGGCTAGAGAGGGAAGTTCGTGTATCAACACTCCATTTTTAAATGCCCCCATTTAATTTATTATATGTATGTGTGTGTGTGTGTATATGTATATGTGTGTGTGTGTGTGTGTGTCTAGAGATATATATATATATATATATGTATGTATGGTTTTTTTTTATTTTTTATTTTAAGAGGGAGTCTTGCTCTGTTGCCCAGGCTGGAGTGCAGTGGTGCAATCTCAGCTCACTGCAACCTCCCCCTCCTGGGTTCAAGCAATTCTCCTGCCTCAGCTTCCCAAGTAGCTGAGATTAGAGGTGTGTGCCACCACGCCCAGCTAATTTCTGTATTTTAGTAGAGACAGGATTTCACCATGTTGGCCAGGCTGGTCTCGAACTCCTGACCTCAAATGACCTACCCACTTCAGCCTCCCAAAGTGCTGGGATTACAGGCGTGAGCCATGGCGCCTGGCAAATGCCCCATTTTGGATACTACTATACTAGTAATTTTTCTCTTCTCACTGGGATTATTTTGAGAAATATGGAACCAAGATTATTAAGTGTCTTTGTACAGGGCACTCTTCAAGATAAACTCACCACATAATCCTAATCTGAAGGAGCTTACCTTCTAGGCAGCCATCTAACCTGGCTTTAAACTAATTAAGCGTAAAAAAAAGCCAAGAACATTCTACAAATAAGCATTTACAGTGGAGAAGGTAGAACTCAACTACTTCCAATTAGTCAGGTGATTTTCATTGTCAAGGCCAAAATCACAAAAGAGAAATTTGTTTATTTAACTAAAAGGTCATGGAAGGTTGGCTGGCTCCCACTTCTCACCCCTACCCCAAACCCTGCTCTTCTCTACATTGACTTTATTCTCACAGAGCTTCCCTCCATTTGCTTCAAGATTAGCAGCCTCAGCTGAAGGCAAGGACCCTGCCCTTCCTTCCTCCTTCCAAGGGAGTGAGAATTGCGCTGAGGTCAGGAGTTTGAGACCAGCCTAGTCCAACACAGTAAAACCCCATCTCTACTAAAAATATAAAAAATTAGCTGGATGTGGTGGTGGGTGCCTGTAATCCCAGCTACTCAGGAGGCCGAGGCAGGACAATCGCTTGAACCCAGGAGGCAGAGGTTGCAGTGAGCTGAGATCACGCCACTGCACTCCAGCCTGGGCAATGGCGTGAGACTCTACCTCAAAAAAAAAAAAAAAAAAAAAAAAAATGGTGTGGAAATTTATTTTGCTTTTCTTTTGCTTATAGAATACATTTGACATCACCCCCAAGAAAGCTTATCTGGACATATTTCTGCCCAATGAAGAGAGTATTAAAATCGAAATTATAACATCAGACACTGCTGAAAGAGTCCTAGAGGTAAGCTTTGTTTAGACTCCAGCTCCTGAACTGAATCTAGGGATAGTTCTGTTTGGAAAGTGGAGAGTGGGATACGGCTGCCTTCCAGGAGCTTCTGGCCTGTTGTGTTACTCTGTGGATGATTATCTGCAGAGGTACTGGCATTTCCTGGGAGAACAACCAAGGAACCTGAGACACAGCCAGTCCTCCAGGGCCTCTTTGGTTTCACCCTCCCTGGGGGCACCAATTTTCCAGAGATCTCTTGGAAGGCTGCTGGCACTTCCTTGGAACTTAGCCAGGGATGTGGCCTGGAAATATGTAAAATGCTTTATTATTGGATGTCCCATCGTTGGGAGCAGGAAGGAAAGTGGGGCTTGGCAGAGTCTGAAACAGGTCATACCTAGGTGTGCGGGTGACACTTCCTGGCAGAGGGTGACAGGGGAGTTCTTGAAGGTTCCTATTCTCCCATAGGGAAAATTCTTGAAACCACTGCTCCGTCAGGGCTAATTCTGGGTGCAGAGGGCCCAGATGTGAGTTGTAGTCCACTCTCTGAGGACTAACAGGACAAGACCCAGAAGGCTTCATCCTTCTTCAGCAGCTCTGCCTCCCAGACCCCTTTTCCATCTGCTAAGCGGGGCTGCAGAGGGAGGGCTGTCTTCTCACACCCACATCCTGCACCCCAGGGTCAGCTCCCAGGCCCTTTTCATCTGGAAGGTTTTAGCTCTAATCCTCCCAGAGAAACACACAAGAGAAAATATAAAGTTATAAACATGAAGAAGAGTCAGAAAGTTTCTAGGACCTTTCAAAGGACAGAAAGTTCTTGTTTTTGGGTTATGGCGTCTGACCCTTTCTGAGCTGAGAAACGGAAGCCCTCCCATTTTGGCTGCTAGCTCTTCCGGCCTGCCTTGACTTAACCTATTCCTGTATCTCCAGCTTCTCTCATATTCATCGCCTCTCCGTTTCCTCCTCTCCATCCTACATCCTGACCTTAGTTCCAGCCTTTATCGTTTCGCAGCTAGACCTCTACTGCTGCCCCTAAACTAATCTCCCTGCTTCCAGTCTTGCTAATCTTCTGTATCAATTTCCAGCATTGTCTTTCTAAAAAGTATCAAAGGTCCTTGATGCTTGAGGGAGTTTGTATCCCAAATACAAAAACCTCAATTGCCCAGGATCTAGAAGTGGGAGACCGACTCATAAATGAAGGAGGAGTAGGAAGGCAGTGATAGAGTCGGAGCCACAGACTGCATGTGTCTAGGGCCAGGCAGGTAGGTCTGGGGCAGCTGCAGAATCAGAGATAATTTGGAAATGGATGGAATTGTTCAGAACAGGAGAGAGCACCTCCCTTGCCCAAAGACATCATCATTGACCTCTTTTTTCACACACTGGGCTTGCTGACCAAACTAGACATGCCTGCAGTTGAAGGTGGTGGTGGTGGTAGTTTGGGGTCTTCTATCTTCTGGGTTTAGAATGAGTCCTGGATTCAAATTACAGTCATGTGCCACATAAAAATGATGTTTCTGTCAACATTGGACTGCATATACAATGATGGTCCCATAAGTTTATGATACAATATTTTACTGTACTTTCTCTATGTCTAGATATGTTTTGGCCGGGCACGGTGGCTCATGCCTGCAATCCCAGCACTTTGGGAGGCCGAGGCGGGCGGATCATGAGGTCAGGAGATCGAGACCATCCTGGCTAACATGGCGAAACCCTGTCTCTACTAAAAAATACAAAAAAATTTAGACAGGCATGGTGGTGGGCGCCTGTAGTCCCAGCTACTCAGGAGGCTGAGGCAGGAGAATGGCATGAACCCGGGAGGCGGAGCTTGCAGTGAGCCGAAATCATGCCACTGCATTCCAGCCTGGGCCACAGAGCAACACTCCAACTCCAATAATAATAATAATAACAATAGATATGTTTAGATACACCAATATTACAGTTGCCTACAGTATTTAGTACAGTAACATGCCTACTATACTGCTATAAACCTGGGCTAACAGGCTTGTAGCCGAGGAACAACAGGCCATACCATCTAGCCTAGGCATATAGTAGGCAATGCCATTTAGATTTGTGTAAGTTCACTTCGTGGTGTTCACACAACAACAAAATCGCCTAACGATGCATTTCTCAGACTGTATTCCTGTCATTAAGCAACACACAACTGTACAGTGCTGCTGTGTAAGGACTGTGTGAATTTGGGTAAGTTACTTTACAGACAATGTCTAAGTAAATAATTATAGAAATAGTTCACGTTCCTGAGACAATGGCAGTTATGTTTATTGATCATTATTGGTATTGGTATTGGTATTGATATTGATATTGGAGGGAGTGCTGAATAGGGTTCTGTGGTACTATCTATTTTGTCCGTTTCCCTGGAAACTAATAGCATACATTTGATGAGGTATATTCGCAGTCAGAAAAATGTGCTTCCTCTCTTCCAATCATGTTGGCTTGTGAGAAATTCAGACCCAAGACACTGACATCATCAGACCAGATAAGTTTAACTGGAGGTTCTACCCTAGAAGTGGTAGTTTCTGTAACAGGTGAAGTGATCACTTGGCCAGCGACAGGTGTGAATTTCCTTCCAAGAGCTGGGAAATTCTCTAGCTTGCGTAAAACCATAATTTAAGTTTTGTAATTAAAAATCACCTTCTGCATCTTCTCCAGCACACTTGCTGCCATTCTCACTTTGCTTCCCCAGGTTTGCCTTACCCACAGCCTGCTTTTTACTTTTCAATGGTCTCTTTTTTTTGTTTTTTTGAAATGGAGTTTCACTCTTGTCACCTAGGCTGGAGTGCAGTGGCGCGAACTTGGCTCACTGCAACCTCCGCCTCCCAGGTTCAAGTGATTCTCCTTCCTCAGCTCCCGAGTAGCTGGGATTATAAGCACGTGCCACCATGACCAGCTAATTTTTTTTTTTTTTTGTAAAGACAGGTTTCACCATGTTGGCCGGGCTGGTTTCCAACTCCTGACCTTAGGTGATCCACCCACCTTGGCCTTCCAAAGTGCTGGGATTACAGGCATGAGCCACTGTGCTGGGCCTCAGTGGGCTCTTTAAGGGCCAGCAGCAAGCTAAAATCTAGGACTACTGTGGTACTAGTGATAGTGTTCGTGTTTTGAATCATCATTAACATTTGCTAAGAGGAAAAATATTATTATGTATTTTTTTGCTGATGCTCACTCTTCTCAAAAGAAGGCATTTATATTTATGTCTTTATGAATGTGAAAGGCTTCTTCATTCTCCTTTTGTCTCCACACCTTTCCTCTGTCTGTCTTGGCATGTAAGCTTGTTGTTTCCCTAAATTAGACAGAAAAGAAGGAAATCTAATTTGAGTGGACCTGGGTCAGGTTTACTCTGGGAAAGATGTCTTTGCTATGCTGTTACCTACCACACACTCACCCACTGCGTTTGGCTTTTGGGCGTTTTGCAACCCAAAGCATGGGGGAAAGAGAGAGACAGAAAGAAGGGGAAAGGGAATTACTTTGAAAGTGGTGAAACTATTCCTGAGCCGCTCTTTATTTTCAAAGCTATGCTGAGAACACCCACTCATACCAGCCACCTAATCAGACTGCTTCCTGGGGGTAATTTATGTATCTCTGACAAGAGAAGGCCCCCTGTGAGCCTGGTATTTGTACAACTGTCACCTAGAGAACTGGGAGCCGTGGGTAAAGCAGCTCTTGAAGGCAGTGCCTGGAGGCGACTCCTTGAGTGTTACAGAGGTGATTTAGTGAGTTAAGACCAGGAGTATAAAGAAATTACTCGAGAGCCCAGTGTTAAAGAGGGAGGGTAGCCTGTGGTCATATAGAAGTTTCTGCTAAGGGAGCATGAGTAGATGTCCAATGCTATAAGGTGACACCTGATAGGCTGATGGCAAAGATGAAGCCACTGGTGTTGAAATGAAAGCTGTTTGATACAAAAGTCAAAGAGGAATGTGAAGGAAGGCAACCTGTGCCTGGGATCTGAGGTTTTCTGCAAACATCATAGTAAATGACAGTTGACCATCGCAGGAAACATCAAGGTGAAGCAGGCCTGGCGTGTCAAAGGCGGGCAGTAGCACGTGCATGTTTGTATGCCAGCCGAGCGGCGGGGAGTGATCCTTTTCCAAATAGCTGGTAATGCAGCCCACAGGAAGGTAAATTAGTGTGCAGGCTCCAGGGACAGACATCACAGAAGGACAGATGTTCATGGAGCATGGCTGCTGCCCTCCAGGGGAAAATAAAGACCAAGACGATTGGGGAGCCTGTCCACATCTGAGATGGGATGACCAACCTCAACTGGGGCCAGCCTCTGTCCACTGTGGTGGGACTGATTTTTATTTTCTTTATTCTAATTTTTTGTGTTTTAAAATTTTCTAAAATCGATACTGTTTTTGGATTCCAAAAAGCTTTCTTTGAGTGTTCACTAACCCATGACAGCACTTTTTATTGCTGTGTACCGGCCATTTCCAAGTCTGCATGTCACAGTTAGGATGCATGGTGGGCACACCTAACTTTTCCCCCTTCTGCTTGTTTCTGGTTAAAGGTGGCATCACACAAAATTGGACTGTGTCGGGAGCTCTTGGGCTACTTCGGCCTCTTTCTCATTCGGTTTGGCAAGGAGGGCAAGCTCTCTGGTAAGAAGGAAGGAACAAATGAATCAGCTAGGAGATGGGGTGGACAGGTGTGAGCAGGGGCTTGATGCAGGACTCACAGCTGAGGGACTGGCCACCCACTGGGCTATGATCTCTACTGCTGTTCTCAGTCACTGGGTTAAGGGTTTGGGGAATGGGAGGTTGCGTCCTTGTTAGGGGAGAGTGGAGGCAAACCACTCATACCTTGGGTGGTCCAGTAACTGCACTTGTGCACCCCCAGCCCTAATTCTGATGCCCCTCCCCTTTACTGCAGACTGGGCCTGACCACTGACCACCTGCCTGCACCCTTTCCTGTGAATGGAGTGCTAGAGTCCGGGGGTCAGGACGCCCCACCACAACATCACTTTTCCTTGTTAAGGAATATTTGTGGATGATATCAATGAGTTGTTAGATACCTTTTTTAAAGCGTAATGAGATAGTGTAAGAAGACAATCTGATTCTCTTATCTTTTGTTTTCTCTATAGTATGTTTTAAGATATTACAAGGTTTTTGTGTGAAATGGTGTCAGTTATATCAAAGTAGTTTGTAAATGTCCTCAAGAAGCCAGGGGAGGTGATTTTGAGTTGGAAGATCAGGGGCTTGTGTAGAGGGTTGGCTGCTAGGCCCTGTGGTGAGCTGCAAAGGCGCTGGTTGTCTCTGGATCTGTTTTTTCATCTGTATCACAGTGTAAAACATCCCCCACTCAAGTGGCGGATAGTTTTGAGGATCAAATGATATTTATTTTTTGAATGAACTTCAGAAAGTTAAAATTACATATAAATACAGAGGATATTCTTACTGTGATTTTATTATTTCCAATAATAAGGTTTTATTTTCTCATTTGAAAGCTGCTATATATAAGCTGTCTGTGCTATTTCAGCCAGTAAGACCAGCTTTCCCCTTTCTCTAGTTGTGAAAAAATTGGCCGACTTTGAACTCCCTTATGTTAGTCTTGGAAGTTCTGAAGTGGAAAACTGTAAGGTTGGACTCCGAAAGTGGTAAGTAGGTACTGAAAATGACAGAGGTGTTTGAGGACATTTCGCCATTGCCCATCAAGACTTATCAGAGTCCCGTCACATCCTGCTCACAGCCTGACAGCTGGAGACCAAGAACTTAGAGAAGGTTGTAAGAAAAGCAATGAAGGCCAGGTGCTGTGTCTTATGCCTATAATCCCAGTACTTTGGGAGACCAAGGCAAGAGGATTGCTGGAGCCCAGGAGTTCAAGATCAGCCTGGGCAACACAGCAAGACCTCATCTCCACTAAAAAAAAAAAAAAAAAAAAAAATAGCCAGCTGTGGTGTTGTGCATCTATGGTCCCAGCTATTCAGGAGGCTGAGGCAGGAGAATCACTTGAGCCCAGAAGATTGAGGCTGCAGTGAACCAAGATTACACCACTGCACTCCAACCTGGGCAGCAGTGCAAGACCCTGTCTCAAAAAGAAAAGAAAAGCCATGAAAATGAGAGAGGGTGAAATAAACTAGTTTCTGAATATTTGTCCTAATGAATAGGATGTTGAGGATGACTTTCAGTAGTCTCAGGTAAATACTCGGGGCTGGGTGGGGTATGAAAATGAGGAGGGTAGTCATCTTTCTGTATCTCTACTGATAGGCGAACCAGAAAGTAAGACTTGAAAACCAGAGGCGGGGCCAGGGGATGTGGATCAAAGCAGGTAATGGTGAGAAACGGCTGGCCTTGGGTTTGCTTTGCAGTGCATCACTGACTGTATTAATGGAGGGACTTTGTTGGTGATTACAATCAGATCCGATTCATCCGTAGAAGTGCGGCATTCCCTGAAGGTGAAGGGTGGATTCAGCCAGTTTGCAGTGAATTTGAACTCTAAGTACTGGGCTTACACAGGCCTAAAGGATGTGTACCACGGCCATCTGTATTCCTAGATAGATAGGACACAAATGTCCCTCAGCAGAAAATACTGTCATTTCCTCTAGTAACACAGGGGCCTGTGGAGAACAAAATATTATAGAAAATAGCACCAAGCAGCAGGACCTTATGCATCCCCAGTCCTATAACCTGCAGCTCCCAGCGTTTCTTACTGTGGCTGCAGGGGATTGCTCCTTAGGCTCGCTCTCTCCCAGCCCATTTATTTTGCTATCTGAGTACAGAGGTTTTAAAGAAAAGTATTTTGAAATCTAAGAATTCCCTTGACCTTGTGATGCCTTGCTCTAGAGCTCCAGTTTGTGGCTTTGAATTGTGGAAGGATATTCCCAGCGAGGCAATTTGTATACTGCTGTTCAGAAGTATCTTGAGGAATGGTCCAGCTCTTGAGGTGTGAAACCCTGAGAAGGGGAGAAGGACTTGGTTCCATTCAATGGTTTAGAGAACAGCTCTTCTGGAAGCTGCTTACTGTAGTGAGTGGCTGAGCACAGTTGTTCCTAGAATTACAGTATGTGAATCCAAGTCGCGGCTTGCTCAGGTCTTAGCTGCATAAACCTAGCCAAGTTTGTTCAAGCTCCCTAACCCTCAGTTTCTTTATCTGTAAAATGGGAATAATAAAAATAGTGTCTACATCATAGGATTATTGTAAGGGTTATGTAGAATAGTCCCATATACTCAGTAAGTTTTGGTCATGTTTGTGACTGTTATATTGATGATATGGTGATTATAGGAAGTAAAAAAAAAAAAAATCCCTGGGGCTTAGATTTTCACTCATGTGCTCTCCTGAAAACTTGAGATCAAAGGAGAGATGACAATTCTGTTTCTTATCTTGAAGCTTGAATTAGAAATTAGGCACTGCCTATGTCTTTATTAAATAGGTAAACTCTAGGTGATACATGCAAGAGAAAATATCTACCCCAAATTATAAGCCAGCAGCTCAGATTCAGGCAGATTGCCTCTGTTGATGGGAACTGGGAAGAAAGGAGGTCCCACTTCTGTTGTTACAGCTAAGGATCAGGTCTCTGGAGGGGAGATTCTGGCATAGGCTCCTGCAGGTGCCTTGCCCTCCTTCCAGAGGGAAGTCTTGTTGGGTGGGAGCTGGAAGGCTAACTCCAAAAGCTGAGTGATTCCCAGCAGGTGAAGCCTCAGTGAGGCCTGAGCGGCATCTTAAGAACTTTTCTGTCCTTAAGGAGAGATGCCTGGGTGCATCTCTCCAGTGTTGATGATTTGGCTTCCTGCAGGCCAGAGGGTGCCTGTGCTGGCCTGTGGGAGCCCCAGTCTGGGATGGGTGTTTTCTCTGCACACAGGCGCCTCTGGGATGTGTGGGTGCATAGTTACCTGGAATGTAAGTAGGGATGCTTCAGTTACTTCTCCCCACCCCAAAAGGAAGTTGACCTTCAAGCACCATATTTATCCCTTTCGTGGTCTAAGCCAACCCCATTGGTCTAATCACCCTATTCTTCTGAGCGTAGCAAGTCTGCTTACCTCTGCCTTCTGATTGGTAGAGATCAGCCATAGATACCCTTTCCTGACAGTTTCAGTCCCTTCTTAACATACTACTGTGCTTCTACAGTCATTAATTTCAGTTCCTCGTGATTCTGGATCTGATAGGCAGACACGGAGCCCCTGCGATTTGCAAATCACTCTACCAAGATCCAGAGGGGCAACTCTGGATAGGCCCCTGGCCTTGGGGTTCTTCACAGATGGTGTCAAGAAAACTTAATCAGGGCGGCAATTGGAATAAACTCAGGCTGCAGAGAAAGCACAGTGGATGGGCGGGCTAATACAGCCTTGGGAAGTAGGGACCAGAGGAGGGGGCGTTGCTTGAGGCTTGCAAAGAAAGGCCAATCAGTCAGGGGAGGAGATTGGCGAGGGCTTGGTCTTCCAGGCAGGGGGACAGGAGAGAAAACATGGTTGGAATGTAGCATTGGTGGTGGGGTTGGTGAGAGATGGAACTGGAAATGAAAGTGGGGGTGGTCCCGGGAGGAGCCTTGAAAGCGAGCAGAATAAATATCTAACTCTGGAAACCATGAGAATCTGAAAAGTTTCACAGGAAAGACCACTCTGGTTAGAATGTGGAGCATGAGGTTAAGGGCACATGGCTGACACAGAAAGCCTGGGAAGGAGGCTCCCAGAGCAGCTCAGGCAACCAATGAGGGTGGCCCTGCTGCAGGGTGGTGAATATGGGGGTGGGTCCGTATAGGGCAGACGACTATGCCAGGTATTGTGCGGTGGAGAAAGGGATTCCAGGGCTTGGTGGCCAAGAGTGAGGCTGAGTATGAACAGGGATGCAGACCATTCCCCTAAAGCTTTATTTTTGTGCCTCTTTATTTTCAGAGCCCTCCAGGTAAGAGCTTACAGTGTAAAGAAATTAGGAAACAAAAGAGGTGGAGGGGCAGAGTGAAAGCTGGGTGAGTGGAGGTGTGGTTTTGTTAGAAAAGGGGGCCCCGGTTCATAGGGTAGAGGGCCACCACTTTCCAAAGCACTTGCCAGGTGTGTCCATGAGCCATGTCACAGGAATGAATTTCGCGCTCCTGAATTTTGCAGGTATATGGATCCATCCCTCGACTCCACACTGATGGACTGCAGGGCGGCCCTAGATTTGCTCTACATGCAGGTGAGGGTCACCAAGAGCTCTGACAGCACCGTAGATCAAAGGCCATGTTGGCTTGGAATCACTGAAAAAAAATCTATGGTAGTTAATAATTCTACCTCCATACCTAAAATAGGCAAATTCATAGAGACAGAAAGTAGAACAGAGGTTACCAGGGGCTGCGGGGAGTGAGGAACGAGAAGTTGTTTGATGGGTGCAAGTTTTTTTGGGGGATGACAAAAAGTTTTAGCTCTAAATAGTGGTGACGATTATCCAACATTGTGAATGTATATAATGACTCTGAATTTTGTGAACAGTTAAAATGACAAGTTATGTTGTATATATTTTACCACGATAACAATAAAATGTAAAAAGTAGAGGAGTTTAGAGAGAGAAAAGGAACTCTGTTTTAACAATCGCTCTCTGAATTTGCAGCTGACGCACTGTCATCATGAGCCTAGAAAGGCTTTCCCTGATAACTTAAAGTCACACGTGATCCCTAAATCTCAGTCTAGCATAGCCTTCTCGCCCCTGAGCCAACAAGCAGCCTGGGTGGGCATGTGGCCCGCGCGGTTGCGCTGGGCTCCGGGCTCACAGAACCCATGCTTCTGTAATGATCGCTGTTATCATCTTGAAATTCTTCATTTTATTTTTATTTTTTATAAAAAAAATTAAATTTTCGTTGGTACATAGTAGGTGTATATATAATGTTTATGGGTTATATGAGATATTTTGATGCAGGCATGCAGTGTGTAATAATCCCATCAGGGTAAATAAGGTATCTATTTCCTCAAGCATTTATCCTTTACGTTACAAACACCCCAATAATACTCTTTTAGTTATTTTTAAATGTACAATTAATTTTTTTTTTTTTTTTTTTACTGTAGTCATCCTGTTGTGTTAGCAAATACTAGGTCTTATTCATTCTATTTTGTTGTGCCCGTTAACCAAAATTTTTAATTTTTGAACAGCATTTTCATTTTGCACTAGGTAGACCCTAAAAATTATGTAGTCGGCCCTACCTACTCCTACCCCCAGCCTCTAATAAAGTGGATTTTGAGCTTGGCTTCAGTTCTCTTCTCCTGCCTCGTGTGGTGAAGCTTCTGCCAAGTCGTGGAATGGTCAGCCTGTGCTGCCCCCAACATACACACCCAGGTCACCAGCTGCCCCAGGTGTTCACATTCACCACACCGCCATCTTCAGAGACCTGATCTTTTCCAGGCTTGGCTTCCACAGTTCTGGGAAGAAAGCTCAGAAACTTCTTTCAGTGAGTTCCCTGAGAATATCTCACAGTCTATTCTTAGGCAGCAGGCAGGGTGGTGGGTCACAGCCCTGCCCTGCTCCAACCCCTCCCAGACTTTCCATCTCACTCAGGCTAAACCCCAAATCCCAATGTCCTTGTTCTGTTTCCTCCGTAGCATTTCTGCCATCTGCCAATGTAAGTATGTGTGTGTGTTGTGTATATTTGTTTACTCTCTCCCTACTGGAATGATTTCTCCATGAAAGTGGCTATTTATTTGTTCACTGCTGTGTCCCCAGAAACTGGAACTGTTCCTGGCATGATGTCGGCATTAAGCCCTGTGGTGGGCCTGGCATCGTATTAATTAAGTGCATTATGTCATTGGAACTTCATAACAACTCTATAAGGCAGTTGGTACCATCCACATTTTCAGGAAGAAAAACATTAGGTTTGCTGACAAAAGATTGAGTAGTGGGTTTGGATTAATAGAAGATGTAGATGAAGAAATTTAACAACACTTATTTGCAGGTGGCTTTTATTTAGCGTGATTCTAAGCTGCTACACTCGATAGCTTTTATAAACTCAGGAGAGAGAGAGAGATGGTGGGTCAGTTCTTATTTTTAATGAGCTTTTCAAGTGGAACGTTAATAAAACCTCCTGTAGTACTTTGTGTATAGAAAAAGGTCAGTGGTGGGTTTTGATACCCTGGCTTACCAGAGGGCGTAGAAGAGGGAAAGAAACTTAACCCATGCCTCCTTAAGTGACTTTTAGAGATCAAGACCCCAAAAGCTCTTCTAAATTCTAAGAGGGTAAATAAAAATATCACTTATTAGATGTTTAATGTTCACTATTGTATTTTTATGGCTAGAATATAGCTTTGAGTTTATTCCATATTATACATTAATCAATGTATAATTATGTTCTGGTTCAGCCTGGGCATGGGGGCACACACCTGTAATCCCAGCACTTTGAGAGGCTGAAGCAGGTGGATTACTTGAGCTCAGAAGTTCAAGACCAGCCTGGGCACTATGGCAAAATCCCATCTCTACTAAAAATATAAAAGTCAGCCAGGCATGATGGTGTGTGCCTGTGGTTCCAGCTACTCAGGAGGCTGAGGTAGGAGGATGGCTTGAGCCCAGAAGGCGGAGGTCACTTGAGATGTGATCACACCATTACACTCCAGTCTGGGCAACATACGAAGAACCTGTCTCAAAAAAAAAAAAAAAAAAAAAAAAATCACGTTCAGTGTACTTGTGTTATATGAGTTAGAGCATAATTTTCCATTCTAAATGTTTATTGAGGCCCATCCTTGCTACTGTATCCTTGCTATTATGATACATTATTAGCTGTGTCTGGTTTGATACCACGTCCTTGGTTGAGATTGCATCACATAATTCTAATATTGTTCCTGTGGGAAATGTCATCTTTATGGCATGTCTTTTGCTTCTCATTATGATGAGAGGTCAGAGCTTTGAGCATCATAATGTGACTTTTAAAATTTGTCTTCATTAAAGAGTTATAACCAAAGGGAAACAGATGATGGTACTTCCTCTGCTCAAAGCTAAAAAAGAAGGGGGCTTCATGGGAGGCACACTGAATTGCAATTTAAGAAATGAATTCTGTCCCTTGTTCTGCCACTGGTCCTCTCTCTGGGTGACTCTGGGCCAGCCACTACATCCTTCTGAACCACGACATCTCCCTGTTGAGAGGAGGTGGAACTAACATCATCTCTAAGTTTTCTGCAAACTTTAATAGACTCTCATTCTAACCTTAGCTTATTGCCTGGCAAAGTCTCCAAAAAATTGTCGTTGATGTCATAATAATCTTTATCATCACTGTTATCATCATCATCGTCATCATCATCATCATCATCATTGTTCCCTGAATCTGGGTAGAGGAGCTAAGAAGTCAAAGGTGGGTCCAAGTTCAGTAGGAGAGTCAGGACCATAATCACTACCTCATTTGGGAGGCCTGCCTTGGCTCTCCCCAGAAGAAAATGCCTGCCTTCCTCCAACTTCTCCCAACCAGACTCTGAATGGCCAAGGGCAGAGACTGTCTCATTCCTTCTGTGTCCTGGGTGCCTGGAATATGTGAAAGACTAAAGTGGCCAGGCGTGGTGGCTCACACTTGTAATCCCAGCACTTTGAGAGGCCAAGGCAGGTATTTTGAGGTCAGGAGTTCAAGAATAGCCTGGTCAACATGGTGAAACCCCGTCTCTACTGAAAATACAAAAATTAGCTGGGCATGGTGGCGCACGCCTGTAGTCTCAGTTACTCGGGAGGCTGAGGCAGGAGAATCACTTGAACCCAGGAGGCAGAGGTTGCAGTGAGCCAAGAATATGTCACTGTACTCCTGCTTGGGCGACAGCATGAGACTCTGTCAAAAAAGAAAAGAAAAAGACTAAGAAGCAGTTATCCTTTAAAAAAGTTAACATGAAAAGCTCTTGAGTTCTGATAAATAATGGAGCCATCATAATTAACTATTAAGGGGCACAGCTTTGATTTTCTAAAGCAGATGTGCCCATTGATAGCCAATGAGTCAACTGAATTCCCACAGCCTGTTTGCTTTCTTCTCCTCCTCTTTTAACCTGAGTTTAAAAATGAGAGATTACATTTAAAACTGTAAGTAAGTATAAATTTTGAAGGCTCAGTCAATTCTGGGCCTGCATTTCAGCAGGGCCATTGCTGGCCTGGACAGTAATACAAATTAGAAAAAGGTACCCCATCCTCCAGGTGGGGCTAGCCCTGCGTCGGGGCCCATGGCTTGGTGAGTGGAGGAGGGCTGACCTTTGGCTTCCTGACTCCCCCATGCCCTGGTGACCTTGTCCAGGCAAATGTGTCCCTCGCCCTTCTTTACCACGCATTAGCCAGAACCAAGTGGCAAGTGCCTGCCTTTGAGAGGCATGTGACCTTCATTTCTCGCTACTGTGCCCTCTGCAGAGGATGCTAGAGCATGTGTGATCGAAGCTCAGGGAGACCATGGCTTATGTGATTTTGCTTGAGTTTTTAATTTTTAAATTTTATTATTTTTTCTTTTTTTCTATCTGCAGCACCTTTAGGATGCTTGATTTTTTTAAGTTCAGTTCTGCATAAACCCCTCTCAGCCAGTGTTCAGGGAACCATGTAACTGAGTAGACTTGTCTAGACTCGACTCTCATTGTCTGGACCTACTCAGAGTGAGGCACCGTATAATATCGCATTTGAGTGATGACTTGTGAACCCATAATCAGGGTCAACTCTTTTCAACGGTAATGATATAAGGCTGGGCACAGTGGCTCACGCCTGTAATCCCAGCACTTTGGGAGGCAGAGGTGGGCAGATCACCTGAGATTAGGAGTTTGAGACAAGCCTGGCCAATGTGGTGAAACCCTGTCTCTACTAAAAATACAAAAATTAGCCAGGTGTGGTGGCACACGCCTGTAGTCCCAGCTCCCAGCTACTCGGGAGGCTGGGGCGAGAGTATGGCTTGAGCCCAGGAGGCAGAGATTGCAGTGAGCTGAGATCACATCACTGCACTCCAGCCTGGGCAACAGAGTAAGACTGTCTTAAAAAAAAAAAAAAAAAAGGGCCAGGTGTGGTGGTTCATGCATGTAATCCCAGAACTTTGGGAGGCCAAGGCAGGCCAATCATCTGAGGTATCTGAGGTCAGGAGTTCCAGACCAGCCTGACCAACATGGTGAAACTCCATCTGTACTAAAAAGACAAAAAATTAACTGAGCATGGTGGCACACGCCTGTAATCCCAGCTACTTGGGAGGCTGAAACAGGAGAATCACTTGAACTAAGGAGGCAGAGGTTGCAGTGAGCCGAGATTACACCATTGTACTCCAGCCTGGGCAACAGGAGTGAAACTGTCTCAAAAAAAAAAAAAAAAAGGAATGAAACAAAACAGTTACGTTACCTTTGCTATAGGACATCTGCATCTCTGTGTCTGAGGATCCAGTTACTCTGATGGTGAATGACATGTCTTGGGTTAGTACTTACTGCCGTGACTCCTGTTTATCTTTACACAGCCATCCCTTCTTTTCGATACTGTTCCCCTGTGCTAACAGCCCTTACCGGATTCTACCATCAAGTACAATTCAGGAAAGAAGGCAGTGTTTAGTTCTTTACACCCATGCTTTCTCGTATGGTCTGTAGATTTGGTTTGAAGAAGAACTGGTGACAAGGAGAAAGCCTTGGGGTAGGTAGCTACCTACCTGCTAAGAATTCAGTGGCTTGGGCAAGGGTAGAAGGGCCTGCTGTAGTGCCCAGACCTGGGTTTGCTCTAACTCCTGCCACTTACTCGTTGGGTCATCTTGAACATCATAACCTCTCTGAACCTCAATTTACTCATCTGTAAAATGGTGGTATTGTTCCTCCCCACAGAATAGAGTAGGCCCACCTTATCCTTGGTCTGGCTTTCTGTGGTTTCAGTTACCTGCAGTCAAGCATGGTCTGAAAATATTAAGTGGAAAAATTTCAGAAATAAACAATTCATAAGTTTTAAATTGCACGCCATTCTAAGTAGTGTGATGAAATGTCTTCCTGGCCCGGAACATGAATCATCTCTTTGTCCAGTTTATTCATCTTGTCTGCATCATCCACCCATCAGTCACTCAGTAGTGATCTCAGTTATCACTGTCCTGGTATCCCAACACTTGTGTTCAAGGCCCCAGTTTTACTTGATAATGGCCCCAAAGTGCAAGAGTAGTGATGCTGGCATATTGTTATACTTGTTCTATTTTCTTATTAGTTATTGTTGTTCATCTCTTACTGTGCCTAATTTATAAATTAAACTTTATCATAGGTGTGTATATGCAGGAGAAAACATAGTATATATAGAGTTTGATATTATCCATGATAGTACCAGTCCATCCTGTCTGGGAGTCTTGGATAGTATCCCCCAAGGATAAGGGGGACCACTGTAGTTGGGAAAAAGTCAATAACAAAATCGATCTAAAGCAAGTTTTCAACAAATATTAGTTATTTTTCTTCTCCTCTCTAAACCCATGTCCTTTTCCCAGCCTAAAGCAATATTTAAGGCATATTCAGCTTTTCATTATTCTCTGAGAGATAAAGCATAACCTGCCAATATCACTGAGGGATGTAACGGATAGGCTTATGTTCAGACTAAGGTGAAAATAAGTGCCTGATAATTGGCAAAGAATTGCTGGGCATTGCCGTATGTAGGACACTGGGCAAGGCACGCTGAGATGACGGGCGCAGTGTCTTCCCTTAGGGGTTGACAGCCTAACTGAGGGACAATGGCCAGTTCTGCCCTGTCATGACAAGTCAGAGCAGCACAGGCCGAGTGTGTGCAGCTGAGGAGGTGGACAGCTGATTCCGTGGCTTCCCCGGGGCCAGACTGGCTAAAAGGGGAAGGGAGCTGGGTGCCGAGAGGAGAGGGAAGGAGCACAGGAAAAGATGCCTAGCTCAGGGAGGGTAGGCTGAGACAATAGGCTTTGTTACTTCCACGTTTCATGTTGCTTCACCACAATCCTGACGGGCTTCCACAGGGGGCGGTTGCCTTCCAGATTTCTGCCTTTGAGCCCAGTGTCGTTCTGCTGAAGTCTACAGTGGATTAGGAAGCAACCGAGAACCCCATTAGGGATTTAGAGTTTGGAAACACTTGCTGGTGGTGGTTACCCTAGGCTGACCAGACAGGACCCAATAATATATTCAACTTTAATTTTTTTAATGTAAAATTAGTTTTTATCTTATAAAAAGTTTGCAAGTGTGGAAGAGTTCAAAAATGAAAGTAGATGTCACCCCAAATCTTAAATCAACCAGACATATAAACTATTAATTAACTCTTTGGGCATATTTATTTCATATACATTTCATGTATTTGCACATCCATTTCCTTGACTCATAAGTATCCATATGAGGAATTCTTGTTGTTTTACATTTATTTTTTGTTGTTTTATAAAAATTAGGGTCTACTACTAGACTCTTACTTGGTAATATGATATTTTTCATGTACATTACACACATTTCCTATGTTGTTAAATATTCTGTGTAATTTTTAATGATAGCATAGCCTATTATTTAGTTATACCCAAACTCAATTACCTCTTTTGGGGCATTTCATAACAGTACTTACGTCATAGGATGGCGGTAAGGATTGACTTTTGTTCTGAAGCAATTAGAGCATTGTCTGACACACAGTAAGCACTATACATGTGTTTGCCACTATCAAGTTGAAAATGTTTCATTGTTATAAACAATAGCAGTAATTGACTTATCGATATATTTTTTCCAATATCTATGTTTATGATTCAAATATACTTATTATTTGGAATTCCTTTTTGTCAATTGCCAATACATAGCTGTTGTCCATTTTCCTGCTGGTGATGCTTACATTTTTCCTATTGCTTTATATAAATATTAACTGTTTGGTATATATGATGCAATCATTCTCCTTGGTTTTCCATTTGATTCTTAGTTTTGTTTTTGGTGGTTTTCATGTACAGAAGTTTTATGTTTTCACATAATTATATATGACTATTTCTTCATTATGACATTTTCTTTTTATATCTTAAAAAAGATATTCCCTACCTCAAGGTCAGATAAAAATATTTACCTTTTTTTTTTTTTTCTAATTGTTTTATGGTCTTACACATTTAAATCTTTGTCTGGAATTTATTTGATTGGGTGGTGTGGGGAAAGAGCTGATTTTATTTTCTTTTTTACCAAGTGTTGCCAATTGTCCCCAAGCTATTGAACAATCCTTTCTTACTAATTTAAAAAATAAGGCTTATAACATGCTAAATCCCTAAATATATATCCACTTGGGTTTGTTTTTATATCCCTTCATATAAGAGTATGTTTTTGTCAGATTGATTAATTTCTGCTAAGACTGCTAATTTTACAACTTCTGTTATTTTAAGGCAATACAGGACATTGAAAAAGAGTGGGCCAAACCCACACAGGCGCAGAGGCAGAAATTAGAAGCTTTCCAGAAAGAAGACAATCAAACAAAGGTGAATCAAATATTGCTCCAAGATAAATCCCTTGGAAGGGAGTTAAAGAAACATATTAGAATTGAACTGTTTTTGTAATTTATAAACCTACCAAGCACTAAAAGTGGGGCTCTTTTTTAAAAAATGAGAATACCTTCATTGATTGTTCTGAGTACGGAATTAGTAAAAGCTTATTGTTTAAAGATTCTAAAAAAATACAGATGGTATATTGTGAGTTCTCTGCTAAGTTAATTAATATAGATCCTCCGCATTATTTTTAGTGACTACAGAGTATTCCATTTTACGGTTATATTATCATTAGGCTAACCACTTTTCTCTTATTGGAAGTCGGGTTGTTTCCAGCTCTTGCTGCTATAAATCACTTTGGCAGCAAGAGCCATGAGGCCCAGGGCTATGTCTAATTTATACATACTCTGCGTATTCACAGCACCTGGTACAGTTCCTGGCTGAAGTCCCTGAATACTGCAGCCAACATCCTCTTTCTATGCGTATGTGTTCTATTATTGCTTAGGATATATTTCTAAACATTCATTTTTAAAGTTTCCGTAAAGGTGTTACCAACTCACATACCTCCTGCCCCTAAGCAGCGAATGTGAGTCTGACAGACAAGATGCATTTTAAGAGAAGAAATGGCCTTTGTTTCGTTGTGTTGTCTTTTTAAAAATTCTTTTGACTTTGCCAATGTTCACAACTGCAACATTGATTTTTGAATGAAATACAACCAAAATTTAGAGGACTCATTTATACGTAACAGAAAATAATTCTTCAAAGGCTCACTGAGATTTTTATTGATGAACTGCAAAAAAGAAAAAGGAAAGGCACATACTGCCACAATTTAGTATCCCCTGCCACCCACCAGCCCGGTGTTCTACCTCAGCTTTGTCACAAAAAAAGGAGCTCAGTTTTTCTCTGTGTTTGGAAATTTTGACAAGTGCAGCTTCTATTTTGATAGATAGAATATTGCTGTTACTTTGGATGCAATTACAAACTGTGTACACCACAACCAAGTCTTTGTACGTATCTGCCCTATAAACCTCTTAATTTAGTAAGAATGTTGTTCTTACCATGCTCTGCCAAAATGTGTATTTGTAGTTTTTCCACAAAATAAATTTTATCTTCTATGATAAACATTTGATCTGAATTTACCATACTATTTGTAATAATGCTATTTTTTAAAAAATTTGCTTTGACTACATAAATTGAATGAAAAAAATTTAATTATTATTGAAATTTACTTTCTCTCAAAGCATCTGCATGTACTGATATGCAACCAACATTATTTGTTTGTGAAGTTCTTCGGCTATGGAGCAAACACATTAACAACTATATTTTATGTACAAGAAAATCTGGAATTGAAATTGAGTGAAATTAACTTAAAGAAGACTCATTTGATCTAAATCAGAGAAAGGCTGTGGTCCATGGGCCATGTTTTTTGTAAATAAAGTTTTATTGGCACACAGTTACAATCATTCATTCATGTATTGTCTAAGGCTGCTTTTGTGTTGCAGTGGCAGAGGTAAGTAGTTGCAACAGGGACCATATGTCTGTATAGCTGAAAATATTTACTAGATAGTTCTTTACATAAAAGTTTACCAATCCCTGATCAAAATGAAAATAAATTAATATAAACATATTTTCTGCAGCTGTGTATGTCAAATTGTCTTTTTTAGATACAATCTTAACTAATTTTCAAGCAGATAATCCTTGTAGCTTTCTGTCTTCTGGTGTTCATATAGTTAGTAATATCACAACACCTGTTTATCGAATGTCAAATGCCAACAGGCATTTTATATAAGTTACTTACTCATCACCAACTTTTTTGCAAAATAGAGCTTCACTTTTCAAACACTTTCATTTCTTTTAGTTCATTGCAGCCAAGAGATTATTACAATTTTAAAGAAGTGTTATCAAACAATAAGATAAACAATTATAGATTTATACCATATCAGTTAGAAAGTGTCGTAGCAAAAGCATGACACTGCTCTCTGTCTGCTCTGTGGCAAGATGACTCAGCTCCTGCCCCCAGTCACTGCACAAGTACCATGTACTCACAGCCTGTCCTTTCTGAAGTTTCTCACTGACCCAACCAAAGTCCAGCACCTTACTGCATCTCCCTAGCTGAAGCCTGGACAGTGGCACAATGAGCTGGCACATGTGGCTGGATGGGACAGTGGCTTTGAATACTCCTGCCGGCATGAGATCAGGAGTCAGCTGTCCCTTACTGCTTCTGTCTCGGCCTGTTTCACTGTATCAGAGAATGCCACTGGAGTCTTTGTAAAGGAAGTGTGAGTTACCTTGCTTCAGGAAAGGATCACAAGTTGTCACTGGGTAGTGTTCTTTGTGATTTAGCCATGTGCTAAAGTGGGAACTGTTCTCTGCATGCACATCTCACATACCACTAGGCCAGGCCCATGGTGGAAGCTGGAAGAACAGAGTGGAAGTCACCAAACCCATACCAGCTTATTTAAATGCAATCATTAATAAAATGAAAAGCCCTGGACAGATGTTCATGAGACAGGATGCCTTGATCAGTGGTGTGACTGCAACTGTCCTCAGTTCTTATGTCACTTCAGAAACAGAGGGAAAAGTTAAATTTTAAAAGTCACATAAAAGTGTTCCTTTGGCAACTGGGGACTCTCTGGAATTCTATTTAGAAAGCAGACCAGCTCGTGCCCTCATTGCCATTTCTAAAATCTCTTTCTCTGGCAATTAATAACATCATCATATAAAGCAGCCTGTAGAAATGAGCTACTTTTCTTCCTACATAGATCTCAGCTTAACTTTTTAAAAGCCAATATTTTAAGCCAGGCACAGTGGCTCACATCTGTAATCCCAGCACTTTGGGATCCGAGGCAGGCGGATCACGCCGAGATCAGGAGGTCGAGACCATCCTGGCCAACACAGTGAAACCCTGTCTCCGCTAAAAATACAAAAATTAGCCGGGCACGGTGGCACTTGCCTGTAATCCCAGCTACTTGGGAGGCTGAGGCAGGAGAAATGTGTGAACCAGGGAGTTGGAGGTCGCAGTGAGCTGAGATTGCACCGCAGCACTCCAGCCTGGGTGATAGAGTGAGACTTCGTTTTTTTGTTTTTGTTTTTTTTTAAAAGCCAACGTACACTTTTTTGTTTACTTGCTATTATAATCTGCTGAGACAGAATCATATCCATTCATCCATTTTATGGACTCTTTTCTTCATTCTTCATTTACTCATGGAATATTTTCATTTCCACTATGTATCAAGCACCATAACAGGGGCAGGGACACAATGGTGAAAGAGGCAGGAATGGTCCCTTCCCTGGAAGGACACTCCAGGAATTTCCCCCAGGCTTCTGGTGAGTACCAGGGGCATTATCTCCATTTGTATGACCAAGAAGAAAAGGTGCTTTCACTGTGACTTACTTCCATGTATTCTCCTAGAATGGCAGTAGCTTCTGACATGAGGTTTTCATCTGTTTCAAGTGGTCTTTTGCTTCTTCTTGTTTCCCTCCCACCCATCACCCTCTTTGGAGCAGTTTTTGGAGCTGGCCCGGGAGGTACAGCACTATGGATACCTGCAGCTGGATCCTTGTACCTGTGACTACCCAGAACCAGGCTCTGGAGCTGTTCTTTCTGTCGGCAATAACGAGATCAGCTGCTGCATCACCCTGCCTGACAGCCAGACCCAAGATGTCATTTTCCAGATGAGCAGGGTGAAGTGCTGGCAGGTCACTTTCCTTGTGAGTATCTTGGCACCTTGCTTTGCCCATGACTTAAAAATCCTAGTACACTTGATGACAAAGTTGACACTAGGGAGACAGGTTTACCATTTGAATCTGTACCTTGAGTGGAGTGACATCTAAGCCACATTAAATATCACCTAGTGGTAAAACCTATCTGTAGTCTGATGCAGGTTCCCCACCCAGGGAATCAGAAACATCGATCTTTCCACCTTCCAACAGCAGGCCTCCCTACTGCTTGAAGGGTGGCTGTAGTAATAACAGCAGATGGCAATAACAGCTATCATTTATTGAGCACTTACTACAGGCTCAGTGCTGACAAGGTCTCTACCCTTCAAGACTGGCACCGACTGGCAGAGTTTTTCTTACAACACCTTGGCATCATGCTTGCATTGCCAGCTACTCTCAAGAGAAACCCTTATCAGATTTATTGAGTGCCCACTTTTTACCAGGGACTGTGCTGCACTGTCTCATCTATTATGTAATTCAGCCTGTAAGACCCCAGTGAGCTAAGTGGTGTTATCCTCTCTACACAGGAAGCTGAGGTTAACTAATAGAGGATAGAAGTTATCAGAGCATGACACCCAGTTGTTAAATCCATGGAATCCCTGGGAATTTTTCAGTTGGGCTCATACTTGACCTCTCTGTGGCCTTCGATACTGTCAACCATTTCTTCCTTCTCAAAAATCTCCTTTCTCCCCTACTTTTGTGGGCCACTTCTCCCTCTGAGCATTCCTGAAATGCTGGTGTTTCTGGCATTGCATTCTAGCATAATTCCTCTACATATTCTATGAAATCAATCGCCCAGATCCTTCTCAAAGGCCCAGTTTTTGCTACCTCCGGTTGCCTTCAACCAGGTGTCTCACAGACATCTCAAACTCAGCCTTTACCCAAAGCAGACGTGTCCTTTCCTCCTTATGCCTTTCATGGGGTTCTTCTGCCTGTGTTCCCTATCTTGGTCAAGGGAATTTCTACTACCACACCCTAACTGCCAAACCAGAAATCTTGAAATTATCTCTGACTTTTCTCTCTCTCTGACCCTACACATTTAAGTGCTAATGGAGGCCTATCCATTCTATACTTTGCTGTCCCTCAAAAGTCTCCCTTACCAGCCTGGGCAACATGGCAAAATCCCATCTCTACAAACTAATACAAAAATAAGCCAGGCATGGTGGTGTGCACCTGTGGTCCCAGCTACTGGGGAGGCTGAGGTGGGAGAATCCATTGAGCACGGGAAGTAGAGGCTGCAGTGAGCTGAGATTATGCCACTACACTCCAACCTGGGCAACAGTGAAACCCTGTCTCAAAAAAATAAAAATAAAAAAATAAAAAGACAAAAAAAAATTTCCCTCTATCTCTGCACTCACAGCTTGGTCTCAACATGCCCTGTGTGGATGGATTGAACAGTTTCCTAACCCTTCTCCCTATACTACTCTTTCCTCCTGGAGGTCAGAGAAAATATTTTGTATGATCTTAGCCCTTTGAAACATATAGAAACATGTGTTGTGGCCCCAGCTCTGATCTATCTTGATAAATGTTTCACATGTATCTTAAAAGAATGTGCCTTCCATTTTGGGTAGAACATTCTATAAATATCAATTGCCTTAGAGATTGGCTCGTTTTTGCTCTGCAAAACTTGTTGGAAGTCCATCCAGTTGCTGACTGTATCAGTAGTTTGTCTCTTTTTCTTGTTGAGCAGCAGTCCATGGTCTGGTTGTTCCAAAGTTTGCTTCACCATTTACTCATTGAAGAACCTCTGGTTGTTTCTAGTTTTTAGCTATTATGAATAGAGCTGCTATAAACCTTCACATACAGGTGTGTGTTTGACCATGAGTCTTCATTTTCCTGGAATAAATGCCCAGGAGTACAATTGCTGGGTCGTATAGTAATTGCATGTTTACTTTTTAAAGAAACTGCCAAACTGTTTTTGAGAATGGCTATATCATTTTACATTCCCACCAGGAATGTACGAGTGAGCCAGTTTTCTGCATTCTCACCAGCATTTGGTGTTGTCACTGTTTTTTTTTTTATTGTAGTCATTCTAATATATGTGTAAAGGTATTTCATTGTGACTTAAGTTTGCATTTCCCAATGGGTTATGATGCTGAATATCTTCATGTGTTTATTTGCCATCTGTATATCTTCTTTGGTAAAATGTCTTCTCATATATTTTACCCGTTTTTGAATTGGATTGTTTGGCTTTTCCTGTTGAGTTTTGAGAGTTATTTATGGATTCTAGATACATGTTCTTTGTTGGCCATCTGGTTTCCAAATATTTTCTCTTACTCTATAGTTTCGGTTTTTTTTGTTTGTTTGTTTGTTTGTTTGTTTTTGTTTTGAGACAGAGTCTCACTCTGTCACCGAGGCTGGAGTGCAGTGGTGCAATCTCAGCTCACTGCAGCCTCTGCCTCCCAGGTTCAAGGGATTCTCCTGCCTCAGCCTCCCGAGTAGCTGGGAATACAGGCATGCGCCACCAGGCCTGGCTAATATTTTGTATTTTTAGTAGAGCTGGGGTTTCACCATGTTGTCTTGGCTGGCCTCAAACTCCTGACCTCAAACAATCTGCTCATCTCGGCCTCCCAAAGTTCTGGGATTACAGGTGTGAGCCACCACACCTGGCCCACTCTATAGTTTTTCATCCTCTTAAACAAGGTCTTTTGCAGAGCAAAAATTTTTAATTTTGATTAAATCTGATTCATCAGTTTTCCTTCTTTGGATTGTGCTTTTACTGTCAAGTCCAAGAACTCTTTGATAAATCCTGTTATAGATGCTGAAGTTTTTCTATTTTTTTTCCTTAAAGTTTTACAGTTAGGGGTTTTACATGTAAGTTCATGATCTCTTTTCAGTTAATTTTTGTATGGAGGATGAGACTTAGGATAAGGTTATCAGACCAGGCGCAGTGGCTCATGCCTATAATTCCAGTGCTTTGGAGGGCCAAGGCGGGCAGATTGCTTGAGGTCAGGAGTCTGAGAGCAGCCTGGCCAACATGGAGAAACCCTGTCTCTACTAAAACTACAAAAATGAGTGGGCTGTGGTGGTGTACACCTGTAATCCCAGCTACTTGGGAGGCTGAGGTAGGAGAATCCCTTGAGTCCGGGAGGGGGAGGTTGCAGTGAGCTGAGATTACGCCACTGCACTCCAATCTGGGAGACAGAGCAAGACCCTGTCTCAAAATAAAATAAAATAAAATAAAATAAAATAAAATAAAATAAAATAAAATAAAAATAAGATGGTTATTCCCCCATCCCCAACCTTTTGTTTGTTTGTTTGTTTGCTTCTGGAGATCCAGTTGCTCCAGTACCATTTGTTGAAATGACTGTCTGTCCTCAATTGAGTTATTTTCACACCTTTGTCAAAAATCAGTCGGGCATGTTTGTATGGGTCTGTTTCTAGGTTCTCTGTTCTGTTTGGCTGAGCTATGTGTGTATTCCCCCACCAATATCACACATGTCTTTCTTTGTAACAGCTTTACTGAGATATAATTCACATACCATACAATTCACCCATATAAAGTATACGATTCAATGGTATGGTATTTAGTATATTCACAGAGTTGTGCAGCCATCACCACAATCAATTTTAGAACACTTTATCACCTGAAAAAGAAGCCCCATACCCTTTAGTTGTCACCTTCCTGTCCCCCCAGCCCTAAAAAACCACTAATCTACTTTCTGTCTCTATAGAATAGATTTGCCTATTCTGGATATTTTATATTAATGGAATCATATGACATGTGATGCTTGTGACTAGCTTTTTACTTAGCATGTCTCCCGGTTCATTCTTGTAGCATGTATCATCAGTACTTTATTATTTTTTATGGCCAAATAATAGTCCACTTTATGGTTATAGCATATTCTACCCATTCGTCCATTGATAGACTTTTGGGTTGCTTCTATATTTTGGCTGTTATGGTTTATGCTGTTATGAACATTTGTGCACAAGCTTTTGTGTAGACGTATGTTTTTATGTCTCTTGGGTATATACCTAGGAGTAGAATTATCATTGGGTCAAATGATATTCTGTGTTTAACTTTTTGAGGAACTGCCAGCCTACTTTCCAAAGTGGCTGTACCATTTTATATCCCCACTAGCAGTGGAGGGTTTTGATTTCTCTCCATCCTTGCCAGTACTTGTTATCAATTTTTTATTATAGCCAACCTAGTAGATAGATGTGACATGGTATCCCATTGTGATTTTATTTATCTTAGTATTTTTTCTCTCTCTGCTTTATTTGGGGTTGTTTCTATTGCTATAGCTTTAAGATTATTGCTATTTTCTTCTGTAATGTCTAACATTGCTATTTATCCCATCCAGTGCATTTATACTTCTAGTGTTGTATTTTTCATCTCTAGAAGTTCTGTTTAGGTCTTTTTTACATCTTTCATTTCTCTCCTTATCATACTTCTATTTTTCTCCTAATTCCTGAGTGTATGGAACATACTTTAAATAGCAGTTTCAATATTTTTGCTACTATTTCCATCATCTCTGTCATTTCCGGATCTACTTCTACTGATCGATACTTTTTTCTTTTTTCATTTTGTTTGTTTTTATCACCTGACACTGAGTATGCACCATTGATTGATTTTTCTACTGTTTGCAGATCATATCTTCCTCCTCCTATGCATACCAGGTAATTTTTTGTGGTATGCTAAACATTGTGAATTTTACATTGTTGAATGTCGCATTTTACTGAATTCCTTTAAAGAATATTAGATGTTATTCTGGCGTGCAGTTAAATTACTTAGGATTGGTTTTACTTTTTTTTTTTTTTTAAAGAGATAGGGTCTCACTCTCTTACCCAGGCTGGAGTGCAGTGGCACAATTATGGCTTACTGCAGCCTTAACCCCGTGGGCTCAAGAGATCCTCCTGCCTCAGCCTCCCAAGTAGCTGGGACTACAAGCATATGCCTATGCCCCGCTAATTTTCATTTTTTGCAGAAACAGGGTCTTGCTATGTTTCCCACGCTGATCTTGAACTCCTGGCCTTAAGCAGTCATCTACTTCACCTTCCCAAAGTGCTGGGATTACAGGCATGAGCCCCCATGCCTGGCCAGTTTTACTTTTTTGATGCTTGCTTTTAAACTTTCTTTTCTTTTTTTATTTTTTTTTTATTTATTTTTTTGAGATGGAGTCTCACTCTTGTCGCTCAGGCTGGAGTGCAGTGGTGCGATCTCTGCTCACTGCAAGCTCTGCCTCCCGGATTCAGGCCATTGTCCTGCCTCAGCCTCCCGAGTAGCTGGGACTACAGATGCCCGCCTGCCTTAATGAAGTTGCAGAGCAGTCTTTAGGGCTAATTTAGCCCTTTATGCCTTAGCTACCATTCTTAAGACTCTACCTGACATCTTGTCTATTGTCTCTCTGCTCTGGCTGATGGGAACATGAACTCTTTCCATCCTTGTTTGTGAGCTCCTGCAATTTCCAACCTACTGCTTTCCAGATGTTCTTTCCCCAGCCTCGTGTAGGTTTACTCTATACACACACAGATCATTATTCAGCCAAAGATCTGTCAAAACCTCTCTAGAGCTCTCGCTGTGTTTAAAGCCTTAGTCTTTGGTATTCTGCACCACAAATTCCAATCTCAACTTCTTGAAACTTTTACCCTTTCTCTTCCACCCACTGAGACTCCTGGGCTCTGTTTGGGTTCCCTGTCTTTGTGTTATATCCTGGAAACCCCTTCAGGTAGTAAGCTGGGATACTTACGGGCTCACTTCATTTGGTTTTCCTTCTCTCTGGGTTAACAGTGCTGCATTATCTGTTGTTCAGTGTCTGAAAACAGCTGTTTTCCAATTCATGTTTTTGTTGTTGTTGTTGTTGTTTTGGAGATGGAGTCTTACTCTGTTGCCCAGGCTGGAGTGCAGTGGCACAATCTCAGCTCACTGCAACCTTCACCTCCTAGGATCAAGCGATTATCCTGCCTCAGCCTCCTGAGTAGCTGGGATTACAGGCACCAGCCACCACACCCAGCTAATTTTTGGTGTGTTTTTAGTAGAGATGGGGTGTCATCATGTTGGCCAGGCTGGTCTCAAACTCCTGACCTCAAGTGATCTGCCTGCCTCAGCCTCCCAAATTGTTGGAATTACAGGCATGAACCGCTGCACCCAGCCTCCAATTCATGTTTTAACTGATGCTGCCAGACCAATATTTCTAAAATATAAATATAATTCCTGTTTTTGGAGACAAGGTCTTGCTATGGTGCCCAGGCTGGTTTTGAACTCCTGGCTCAAGAGATTCTCTTGCCTCAGCCTCCCAAAGTGCTGGGATTACAGGCATGAGCTACCATACCTGGCTAAAACCTCTTAAGGAAAAGCTGTCGCCCTTGGGATAATGTCTGTTGCCCCCTGGGGGAAAAATGTCTTTTTTCTTTCCCTATTTCTTTTTTCTGTACTGCATATGATCTGCAGGAAGGGATTCTTAGCTTATAAAACCTGTAAGAGTTAAGGCTCTTTGGTGGCAAGCAATAGAAACCAACACATTGGACTCTAGTGGAAAACGGGATGTGTTGGAAGGATATGGAGTAACCTACAGATTCAAAGGAAAAACTGATGCAGAGGTTTTAGAAAGTTAAGAACCAAAGGAGCTCAAGCTTTCTAAGAAATAGGAACTCTATCAGCACCTACGATTTGGGTCTCTCTGACTGAAATAACATGAGAAGCAGAGAGAATTACTTGTCCAGTTGGCCTGAAATTGGGTCATATGCCGCCCTCTGACTTTTCATTCCCTGACAGTCCTACATAGATAGCCAACAGTGGAAGAGGGATGGTTTTCCCAAGGGTATTTGAGACTCCATTACTAGGAAAAAGAATGATGGATGTTGCAAAGCAAAAATCACAGATGTTGCCTACCAGGCTTTCAGGATCTGGTCCTAAGCCTCTTCTCATATCACCCTCCATGCCTTGGAGCCTGTGCTGCAGCGACACGCATGGTCCCTTTCAGTGTCTCCAATATGCCTCAAGACATTTGCACTCACTATAGTATTTCCTCTTTCAAAAATCACTTCTCACCTCCCCTACACACCACCAAAATAAAACCACCACAACAAACTTGGGTAGTTTCTACCTCTGCTCAGATGGCCCTTCCAGGGAGCCTTCCTTTGCCCTCCTAGCCTGGGTTAGGTGCCCCTCCTATTTACTTCCATAGACCTGTGTTTCCTTCTTAACACTTAACTATTAACATATCAAACTGTGGTGATTTACTTTCATGGCTCCTCCATAGACTGATACCTTCTTGGAAATAGGGACAGTCTCCCTCATTTTGATATTTTGCCCAACACATTAATGAGCTTTTTTTTTTTTTTTTTTTTTTTTTTCACCCAGGCTGGAATGCAATGGCGTGATCTTGGCTCACTGCAAACTCCACCTCCCTAGTTCAAGTGATTCTCCTGCCTCAGCCTCTCGAGTAGCTGGGATTACAGGCACCTGCCATCATGCCTGGCCAATTTTTGTATTTTTAGTAGAGATGGGATTTCACCATGTTGGCCAGGCTGGTCTCGAACTCCTGACCTCAGGCAATCTGCCTGCCTCAGCTGGGATTACAGGTGTTAGCCACTACATCTGACCAATTAATGGGTATTTAAATTTACATTGAATATAAAATATTTTCCTTTGTAGGGAACTCTGCTGGATATGGATGGGCCCCAGAGAACTTTCAACCAGAACTTAGAGCTCAGATTTCAATACAGTGAGGATAGTTGCTGGCAGTGGTTTGTTATTTACACCAAACAGGTGAGTTCTCAGGGCAGACCTTGAACACCCTCTGTGCTGAAATGCTGTCTTGCTTGCTGGGGTGGACGAAGCACATGACCCTAACCCAACTAGAGCAGGACACTAGAGTATTCTATGTACTCTCGTTTGGACTGTAATACCTTTTATTTTGTTTTAGGTTTTGTTTTATTTTACTAGTCACCATGGCCTTTGTGTCAGTTAGAAATGAATTTAGTTACCAAGTGATAGAAGATTCAACCAACAGTGGCTTAGAGCAGGAGTCCATAGGCTTTTTCTTAAAGGACCAGATAGTAAATATTTTAGGATTTGAGATCCATACAGTCTCTGTTGCAACTGCTCAACTCTGTTAAAAGCAGCCATAGACAGTAGATAAACAAGTGGGTCTGGTTATGTTCCAATAAAACTTTATTTATAGAAACAGATAGTGATCTGGCCTTGTTTGCCAACTCCTGACTTAGGCAATATAGATTTTTATGATCTCAGTTAATAAGAATACTGAAGGTAGATGATATTATTCTTTTGACCTTTTCCAAGCAGATGAAAAGCCACCGGTTGAGTAGCCCTTATCCCAAATGCTTAGGACCAGAATTGTTTCCAACTGCAGATTTTTTTTTTATCTTGAAATATTTGCATATACATTCATGTAGTACATAACTTTTTGATCAATGACAGTGTGTATATATGGCAGTGGTCCCATAAGATTATAATATAGTATTTTTACTGTACCTTTTTTATGTTTTTTTTTAATGTTTCACCTTTTTCCTGCAGTACCTTTTCAATGTTTAAGTGATACACATACTTATCACTGTGTTACAATTGCCTCAGTATTTATTCAGTACAGTAGCACACTGAACAGGTTTATAGCCTAGGGAGGCTCTATCATCTAGCTTAGGTATATAGCAGACTCTACAATCTAGGTTTATGTAACTACACTCTATGTTGTTTGCACAATGACAAACTTGCCTAATGATGCATTTCTCAGAACTTACCCCCATCATCATTAAGTGATGTATAACTGTATATAATGAGATATCTTGAGGATGGGACCCAAGTCTAAACATGATTCAATTATATTTCATATACACCTTAAACACACAGCCTGAAGGTAATTTTATATGATATTTTAAATAAATTTGTGCATGGAACAAAGTTTGTGGACATTGAACCATCAGAAAGCAAAGGCGTCACTACCTCAGCCACCCATGTGGACCATCTGTGGTTGTTGTTGGGCATCACCATCATTCCCGACTCTGAATTTACATGCTACTGATAAGCAATCCATTTCTTATACTTATTCCCATGTGAATAATCGACAGTAGAAAATATGACATACATTAATACAGTGAAGAATTATGTGTTCAGGGTAGCTAATCAGCACAATAGCACCACCAGAATACCTGTATCAGCTGTGAAACCTGTGAAACAACAGTAACAGAATCTGTGCTGTACACCTGGATTTTGACTGTTACTAGTCACAGGAGGTCAGGTGTGGAATTTCCCACTTGTGGCATCATGTAAGTGGCTCAAAAAGTTTTACATTTTGGACTTTTGGATTAGGGATGCTCAACCCATATCTCTCTTATCTGGAAAGCAAAAGTTTTACCCCAGAAACCTCCAGTAGACTTCCTATTGTGTTTCAATGGCCAGAACTGGATCCTATGACCACTCCTAGCTGCAAGGGAGTCTGGGAACCAAGCATCTAGCAAAGAGAAATAGGCTTTATGATTGGCTTAGAGTAAGCATGAACCATTGCCAGGGGCTGAGCAGGTTATTGTCCCAAACAAAATCAGGATCTCTTAGGAAAGAAGGGGCAATGGCTGTTGGGTAGCCAACTATCCATGTCTACCATAGGTTTTTAACTAAAATTGGAGTAGAAATGCTAAAAAAGAGAACATCTAAACACTAAATCCAATTGAAAAGTCCTTTTTACTAAATTAAGTCATTTCAAATCGGAACCAAAATTGTAGATGTTCTGAAATGGAATCAAAATAGTAAAGTACTCTTTGCATCAATGTCATATTCAACCTGAGTCTCTGGTGATCAGGCTAAGTTCCATGGAACATTCTGGTTCAGAAACCAAGGCCCCTTTCAACTCTTTACTTCTAGTATAGTTGAGTCATTATATCAAAGTCCTCTGAAAACATGAAGTACTAAACCGAAATTCTAGGTTAAAGCAGTGGGTCCTTAGGTTCACCTTAAATATGAAACATCTTTAGGGAAATGGTAGACTGGTTTGCTGAGGCAAGATTGTCAGTCACTTGGAGAGACACAGAGAGATTTGGGTAGTAAAACTACCTCCCAACCTCAGAATGCTAAGTGTGGTTAAATTTTACTATGATTTTTAAATCTAGTCAGTAGCAAATGAGTTTAAACCACCATAAAGAGGTGCAATAAACATTCTTTCAAAGGATTCCTAGTAAGGTCTTATTTCCCCTGGAGCGTGAGTTTTATTGATGTACACCCAAGGGCTACTTTTTAAGAAGTTATAATTTTTATGGATATATAATAGTTGTACATACTCAAGGGCTAGTTTTGCAAAATTGGAAATGTGACTTGTGTGCTTTGCAAATACAAATGAGGGCTTGGGCCCAAATCTTTTTGAGACCTTTTAAAGGAAATCTGAATCCTTGGCCAGAAGCGGTGGTTCATCCTGTAATCCCAGCACTTTGGGAGGCCAAGGCGGGCAGATTGCTTGAGGTCAGGAGCTCGAGACCAGCCTGGTCAATATGGTGAAACACCATCTCTACTAAAAGAACAAAAATTATCCGGGCATGGTGGCAGGCACCTGTAATCCCAGCTACTCGGGAGGTTAAGGCAGGAGAATCCCATGAACCTGGGAGGCGAAGGTTGCAGTGAGCCAAGATTACACCACTGTGCTCCAGCCTGTCCAGTCTGGGTGACAGAGCAAGACTGAGTCTCAAAAAAAAAAAAAAACACAAAAACCACAACAACTCAATCCTATTACTTTGTCTTTTTAAAATTTTTTATTCATTTTCAATCTTTTCATATTTAACAAACCTGACGGTTTATAGCAGAGTCCTGGCCTACGTACTTGTGTACATTGTATAGGAATACGGAATTGGTCTGACACTATTAAACATCCTACCTAGGTGCATTTGCTCAGGGTTTTGTTGTTTATTTTATTATCTGGTTTTGCATAGGTTACATATATGAACATATAAACAGGGCTAGTTATTAGCAAAACTAGGAAGTCAAAATGTTTGCACAAATGCCACATCTGTTAATTCTTTTAAAAATTGATGTCAGTCCTTTCTTCTTCTTCCCTCTTTTCCCCTTTTAAATAAAATTAATTCCTATCATGCTCTACACCCTTGCAAGACACTGAGAGCTGTATGTAGCCCATTTTCCCTCTAATTCTGCTTTCCGTGTTGTCCCCTCCAAGAACTTTCTACTTGGCTACCACCCCAGACTGTGCTTTCTCTCACTGTCTCCTCCCTTCTCCTTTCCATCCTCCCCTCCAACACAGTGACCATCCCTGAACACAACACTGTGCTAAGGTCTTATAGCCTCAACATTCATTGACAGTTTTCCCAAACTTTAGTAGAGCCAACGGAGAAAACAGCAAGCCAAGAACCAAGAGCAGGACAAGAGAGAAAAAGGATTAGTGGGAAAGGAGCAAATGGGAAAATCATAGGGAACCTTCAATTTTGCTCATAGTAGTGCAAAGCCTGGAATAAGGAAGCCCAGCTTTTGTGTAGCAAGATGTACAACTGTGAGTGTCTTGGCACCAATGATGATTAAGCCATGAAGGATAGTGGAGGTGACCATCAGTCTAGAACATGAGTGATTAAAGATACTAGAAAAATAAGAAAGTAGGCCGGACACAGTGGCTCACCCCTGTAATCCCAGCACTTTGGGAGGCCGAGGCGGGTGGATCACTTGAGGTCAGGAGTTCGAGACCAGCCTGGCCAACATGGTGAAACCCTGTCTCTACTAAAAATACAAAAAAATTAGCTGGGCATGGTGGCGGGCTGAGGTGGGAGAATCGCTTGAACCCAGGAGTCGGGGGCTGCAGTGAGCCGAGATCGCAGCCACAGCACTCCAGCCTGGAAAAAAAAAAAAAAGAAAGAAAAAGAAAAAGAAGAAAATGAAGTGAAGAAAAACAGCTAACCTTTTTTTTCAGTTTAGTAAAAGCAGTGAGTTGCTAATATGTTCTTTCAAACAAACCAGTTACTATTTATGCTCAGTAGAGGTCTCTCAATAATTATGTATACAATGTCTAGAATTAAATATAGGATTGACCATCATCAGTTCATCTCATTATAATAATAATAATTCATTTTTATTGTTTGTTGCTCACAAAACATGACCTGCTTACAAAATAATACAAAACATGGGATGCAAGGGGGTGAGTTTTAAGAGGAAAAATATTAATAGTGAGATCCTGGACATTTTTCATTTCTTTAAAAAATTTGCTGTAAATATATCCACATAATTGAGAAAATTTATAGTTACTTCCTAACTGGATCTTAAGAAAACTTCTGGAAGTTAACGAAGAAATCTAAATTCTTGAATGTGTGTTATTGGAGGGCAGAGCTCAAAATCTGCCTTGTGGTGTGAGGAGGGAAGGAAGAGAGTGAAGATTTCTTCAGTTACAAGAGTTCTTTATTCCTACATTTCTTAGGCTTTTTTGCTGAGTAGCTGCTTGAAAAAGATGATCTCAGAAAAGATGGTAAAGCTAGCTGCTAAGAATCCAGAAATGGTGAGTGCTCTCATCTGTGTATATTTTTCACTTTACGTTCCCATCATCAGCCAACAGTTGGAGACCAGTCTACACTTATGAGCTCTCCGGGCCAGCAGGTCTGGTCCTAAAGGGAGGACTCCAAACCACAGAAGTGAGCTCCTCTTCCCACTGGTAGCTCAGTGCTCAGGATGGCAGGGCAGAAGGAAGCCTGTCTTTAGAATTAAAGTCATTTTTCCAATGAGAAGTCATCTTTGGGTTACTGAGAATTCTAACCCTCAACTTTGTATTGTTTTATTTCAGCCTTCTCTGACATGGAGGCTTTCAGATTTATTATAGAAGCTACATCTTCAAGTCAGGGTCTTGAGGGGGTCTTTAACACAATGGGGATGATCTTATTATAAGTTTGTCTCTAGAAAGAATCCATAGCTTCTTGATAATTCCATTGTGCCAAATGAAAATGCCTTTAACAGTTGGGAGGAGTAAAATAAACTCTCAAGGCTATTTTTTTTCCCTCAATATAAAATTAAACTTTATTGTTCTAGTGTACATTTATTTATTAAAGGCCTAGTAACTCATCAAAAAGGTTGGTGAGAAGGCTGTGAAAAAATTAGATTTTAAACTGTCTTAATTGCCTAGTCATCATCATGATACAAGTATGTCCCAAACAAGACAGTACAATTTTTTTTTTTAAATGATTAGAAATACCAATGCCTGGGGCCAGGCATGGTGGCTCATGCCTGTAATCCCAGCACTTCAGGAGGCCAAAGTGGGGGGATCACTTGAGGTCAGGAGTTCGAGACCAGCCTGGCCAACACGGTGAACCCCCGTCTCCACTAAATATACAAAATTAGTTGGGCTTGGTGGTGTGCACCTGTAGTCCCAGCTACTGGGGAAGCTGAGGCAGGAGAATTGCTTGATCCCAGAAGGCAGAGGTTGCAGTGAGCCAAGGTGACACCATTACATTCCAGCCTGGGCGACAGAGTGAGACTCCATCTTAAAAAAATAAAAAAGAAAGAAAGAAAGAAATACTAATGCCTGGTTGACATTCATAAACTTAATTCTTTTGTAGAATATTACATTAATTTTTAAAAATATAATAGAAAATATTGGGAAATTTTTCTTTTTTTCTTTTTCTTTCTTTCTTTTTTTTTTTTTGAGACAGAGTCTCTGTCGCCCAGGCTGGAGTGAGTGCAGTGGCACAATCTCCGGTCACTGCAAGCTCTGCCTCCTGGGGTCATGCCATTCTCCTGCCTCAGCCTCCTGAGTAGCTGGGACTACAGGCGCCCTCCACCACTCCTGGCTAATCTTTTGTATTTTTTTTTTTTTAGTAGAGACAGGGCTTCACCTTGTTAGCCAGGATGGTCTCGATCTCCTGACCTCGTGATTCACCCATCTCAGCCTCCCAAAGTGCTGGGACTACAGGCATGAGTCACCGCGTCCGGCTGGGAAACTTTTCTAACGTTTTCATTTAAATTTAGTCTAAGAGGGTGGATAACATCTTTAGTTAACATTGATCTTTACTTTCCAGCTTTTTTCTAAGAAAATAGTTGTGTTTTGTAATTATTTCTCTTTCTTCTAGAACTGAACGTACCTTTTCCAAGGAAAATAAATTCACTGCCTCTTGTTGATCGAACAATTCAAAATGTACTAGAGAGTAGTAAATGAAAGCAATAAAAGAATCAAGGAAACTCTTTTTAAAACAGTAGTATAATAAAATCCAACCACTCAGGCAGGATGGACCCTCTTAGGCTGAGATTATTGTAGGTATAAAAAAGAAGAAAGAAAAAAGTAATTAACTGAAGTAGCCTCATTAAAAGGGAGAAGTGCTCTCAAATGTGGATGAATAAAATGTAAGCTACTTGATTCAGGAAATACTTGTACAATGAGTAGCTAGAGTTAACTCAGTAAAATGGAGAAAGTAGTAATCCATTTAAAGTTTTCAAGAAAAACAACCACACTATATTCCTTAAGTTTGCACATGAGTTGAAATCCCTAATTTATCTCTGAGGTTAGCAAAATCAGCACATTAGTCAGTACCCTTGTATTGCTTTATCTAAATATTTGACACGTTTTATTTCTGGAAACTCTTTATTTTTTTTACTTATTTTGGCTCTTGGAATGAAAAGTTCAGACCTCTCATTTTGAAAATTGGGTTTCCAAGAGGATTTTGTAAGGATAGTTTGCATTTTAATCTTGAATTTTATTTACGAAGCTCTGGGTAGAATGGAACCTGGAAGGTAGAGAGAACAGACAGTTCGGTGTTTGAACTCTTCCTGAGTTCTGGGCGCCCTCACAAGTACAGTCGATTGAAGTCATTCTGTGGCTCAAGGAAACCATATGAATGTACCATGGTGACATTCCCTTGTTTTCCAGGGAAACACACCAAGTCAAAACTGACACATAGCACTTGTAGAAGGCTTGTATGGACTAGGACACAGAGTCTGTATTTTTCAGGGCAGGTTCTGAGTTCAAGATTTTGATCATCTTAAAGAATCTGAAGCAGGGAAGAGAACTGTAATCAAATGAGCCCCATAAATAAGGCAGATGGTCCCCAGAAGCAGATTAAATAGTGCTAGTTTTATCCTAGTAAGAAGAAATGAGGGAAAAAAGAAATGTATTGTTAACTTAGCTTAGTTAGCTTTAGGTAATGTTTCAAAGATAAAACTTGTGCTCTGTTTATGAAGACATCATTAAAATTTTGGTCAAGCAAATGCACTGAAGAATAATATAAACATACAGCCACAACAAAAATATATTAAGTTCTTATATATGTGTGTATATATATGTGTGTGTGTGTATATATATATAATTATGTATATATATTATGTGTGTATATATATATGTGTGTGTATATTATTAATATATATATTAATATATATAATATATATACACACACATATATTAATTATATATATACACACACACACATATATACAATTTTTTTAAAGACAGGGCCTCGCTCTGTCACCCGGGCTGGAGTGCAGTGGTGCAATCATGGCTCACTGCAGCCTCAACTTCCCAGACTGAGGTGATTCTCTTACTTCGGCCTCCCAAGTAGCTGGGACCACTGGCATATGCCACCACACCCAGCTAATTTTTTATTTTTATTTATTTATTTTTTTGTAGAGATAAGGTCTCTCTGTGTTTCCCAGGCTGGTCTTGAGCTCCTGAGCTCATCCCACCTCGGCTTCCCAAAGTGCTGAGATTACAGACAAGAGCCACTGTACCTGGCCCTTAAAGGCAATATTAACCATAAACCAGAGGAAAAAAAAAGTGTAACATTCTTCTTAAAGCTATGCTCCTGTACAAAAGCTTGAATCAATTTCCTTAATATTTGCTGCTCTTAATTAGAGCAGAATTATAAAGGAGTGCTTTATTTAAAAATAAAGTATATTAGTTAGAGTTAGGTTTTGCTGCATATAATAGAAAATAAAAGACAAAACAAGTGTCTTAGACACAATAAAAGTTTGTTTCTCTCTCATCTAAAAGAAGTTCAGAGGTAGGCAGTCTAGGGCTGGATGGTGGCTCCATAATATCAACACAAACCTTTCTGTTGTGCCATCTTCTGTGTGTGGCCTTCACCTCATGCTCAAAATGGCTGCCAGAACACTCATCATTACATCCACATTCTAGGCAGCAAGTATGAGGAAAATATGAAGCAGGGCTTACTTCTTCTCTTCAAGGAGGAGTTCCAGAAGTCTCACACAGAATGTCCCCTACAACCATTGGCCAGAAGATAGTCACATCACAGGCCCATGCCTAGCTGCAAGGGAGTCTGGTAAATGTAGTCTTTTAGCAGGGTGTGTTGTCTGTTCAAATAAAACTGGGTGTAATTACTAAGGAAGAAGGGCAGAATGGATAATGGAGTAAACTACCAACAATCTCTGCCATTTAGAGAATTCCAAAAGACACCAAGAAATGAAAGTTGATGTATTTTATGCAATAGATGTGTTCCTAAGGAATTTCTGAAAGTGCATTATTATTATTTTACATATTGAACCATAATCTGGATATATGAGATGCACATCAGGAGTATGCTGGTGAATAATTTTCTGACTTAAAAAGACTTTTTTTTTTTTTTTTTCTGACAGGCTCTGTCTCCAGGCTCGAGTGCAGGGGTGCAATCTCAGCTCACTGCAACCTCCGCCTCCCAAGTTAAAGCCATCCTCCCCACCTCAGTCTCCTAAGTAGCTGGTACTATAGTCACACACCACCATGCCTAGCTAATTTTGTATTTTTGGTAGAGACAGGGGTCTCACTATGTTGCCCAAGCTAGTGTCAAACTCCTGAGCTTGAGCTCAGCCTGTCTTGGCCTCCTGAAGTGCTGGGATTACAGGTATGAGCTACCATGCCTGGCAAGAAACAATTTATATTTCTAATAATATATACCTAGTTTGTATATTTTTCCCTTTGATTTTCTTAAAAGTAGATCTGATCTCAAAATTAGTTTCCCTCAAAAATGGCAAAGAACAAGATGGCTTTCTGATTTCTGATTACCTTTCACCTCTCACTCCATCCTCAACTACCATCACCAGATGTATTTTTCCCTCCATTCTTCTTTCCTTTTAGGCAAGGTGAAACTATTTAAAAGGCAACTGGCAATTTAAAAAATGTTTCTATTATATGGTGAGGAGGCGAAACACCAAGGGCAGTGGCCTCTGATATCTGAGGAATGTTAGCCTTTTGAAGAGCTAGTCCAATATAGAAAATGGAAAAACTGTGCATGGCAGTCAGGATAATGGTATGAGCATAGCAGGAGGACACAGTTTTAGAGAATCAGGGGGAAATTACTGTGCAGAAATGAGTGATTGTGTTATTAACAGAAACTATTCTATTGGTTAAAAAGAAAGTGTGGGAATACTGCATTATGAGAAAAGATTTGCTTGTTTCCCCAGCTTTAGTTTCCCCTAGTATATAAAGTATTGAAGGTCTTACTGCAACAAGTCAAGGAAGCTGATTATATCAGGAATTACTTAACATTTGTAGTGGTTCTATTTTATTTACTTTGACATAGGGGTCAGGAGGGGAAGGAAACTAGGAGAGAGAAAATTCTGAGAATTTTCCTCCAAGTTCTGTATTTCATGGCTGCAAGACTCTTTACAAACTCTAAGGTAACATTGTAAAATAATAATGATGGTAGCAAAACACATAAAACATCAGAGTGTTAATTTCTCATTTACCAAGACTTAATAACTAGTTTTTAAAAAAATATTGAGGCTGGGCACAGTGACTCGCACCTGTAATCCCAGCACTTTGGGAGGCTGAGGCAGGTGGATAACTTGAGGTCAGGAGTTTGAGACCAGCCTGGCCAACATGGTGAAACCCCATCTCTACCAAAAATACAAAAATTAGATGGGCATGGTGGTGCGTACCTGTAGCCCCAGCTACTTGGGAAGCTGAGGCAAGAGAATCGTTTGAATCCAGGAGGTGGAGGTTGCAGTGAGCCAAGATTGTGCCACTGTATTCTAGCATGGGCAACATGGCAAGACTCTGTCTCAAAATAAAATAAAATAGTTGAAATAGGCTTGAATATGTGAACATTTCCATTAAGAATACTAACCTAAAGGAAGTCTTATGCATACCTCCTTAAAGCAATTGATTTTACAACAAAGTTAACCATAGTTAAAAGAATGCTTTTTTGCAGTGTCATGTTATTTAGCCTACTTATTTTGAAATGTCTCAGTCTACATTCTCATGAGAAGTAAGCAATAATAATTAATTCACTCTTTCATTCTGTCATTTATGAATGCCTGTGTGTACCGTATGATGGCTAAACCTGAGAATCCAGAGTCAAAGAGCTACTATGTTGGAGGAGAAAGGCAATTAGTACAGAGATGTTGACAATTGTAGAGTGAATAAATACTGTGCCCTGTTTGAGTTACATACCTAATGCACAGTTGTTTAATAGCAGTTCTTTTCTTTCCCATTAAGAAGAATCTAAGTACTCTTTCCCCAAAAAACCTGGCTAGGTGGTGTTTACTAGGTGTGCCAGGCACTCTGCCTTTCCAGATTCACTCCCACTCTGCTCTGTGCCCTGAGAGACTGTGTACTGCAACCTTACCCTCAGTGGGATAACTCAAGCTTGTCCAATTCACAGCCTGTGGGCTGCATGCAGCCCAGGACAGGTCTGAATGTGACCTAATGCAAATTCATAAATTTTCTTAAAACACTGAGGTTTTTTTGTGATTTTTTAAAAGCTCATTAGCTATGTTACGTGGGGACCAAGACAATTCTCTTCTTCCAGTGTGGTCCAGGAAAGCCAAAAGATTGGACATCCCTGGATAACTCATTGGGAAACCCAGCAGGAGATTGGAGGCTGGGAGAAAAGTGACAGTAGGTGTTTATTTCTCCACGTTGGAACCTGCTGGGTCTCTGTGGTTGGAATGTCCCTCTACTGAGGGCTACAGCTCCCATCAGGCAATCTCTCCTCTTTATAGCTACAGCTACTCTCTGGTTCCAGCCACAGCTGCTCCCTTGCCCCTTCAGGCCTAGAGGTGGTAAGAATCTTCTGGAAATCCCCCTCATTGCTAGCCCCTGGGGGCCCCAATATCCCTTCATGGATTCAATGTAATCCTGCCCACACCTCCATTAAATAGTTAAACGGTTCCTTCCTAACATACTCCTCAATTACCCCAAGATTGCACCATCTGTTTCCTGCTGGTATATTGAGTTTACCTTATGTACATGAGGTATATTCAAGTGTCTTGAACTTCGCTTTGATTCTTCGTTTGATTAATGGTCCCTTTTGATTAACCAAAGCCCTGGTGGGCTTTGAGTCAGCATATGGATTGCAACCCCAAGAATTATTTCAGGATTTAGAAGGACATTTCATTTCGTGTGATGTTCTTTTAAAAGCTTTCTTCAATCGCAAAATCCATAGGCAACCACTAATGTGAAACGTTAAGTTTTACTTAACTTTTTGGGACTCTTATTTCTATAACATTTAGACCCTGACAAACGAAAGAGGAATGCACAGATGACAAGCAGGTGTACCTGTTGACTGGCAGCCTTTGGGAATGTTAAGAGGATTATCGTGGAAGGGAAAGTGTGCTAGTTAAATAGATTGTTTGTGTGCTTGCTTCTCTGGGCGGAGCTGACTGACATTTCACTAATCTATTTAGCAGATTGAAGTTCCGGAACAAAGCAAAAGTAAAAAATACCACATTCAACAAAGCCAGGTCTGTGAGTAAAATTATGTAATTGATATATTATAATTTTGATAAATCTGATCTTTCTTCCTCTTTAACCAAAGTCATCCCACTTTCAATAATAAGTCAGAATTCTGTTTCTCAGAAGTTCCTCTATGTAGATTGGGCCAATTGGAAGGCCATCACAAAAATATAGTATTTTTATTGTAGCACCCCATAGCACTACCAAGAATTTTTACATAGAAAATTTCCAAGAGAAACACAAAATTTCCTTGGTGATTTTTTTTGTACACCCTATGCATTTTTTTGGAGGCAACTCTCTTTCTAGTTTGTATGTGTTACATATCTAGTATATTTTGGTCTCATAGGTTTTCTGCAGTATACTCTGTATAAAGTAACTTTTAAGTTTATAAAATACTTTTTTGAGCATTTAGGTCTGCTGTGCAGATAATAAAAGAAAAAAATCACAATCAATGGCATTTTTGAGCACTCATTATTGCCAGGCAGTATTCTAAGCACTTTTATGTGAATTAACACATTCCTCACAGCCCTGTAAATAAGTTGAGGAAATTAGGGCACAGAGAGGTTATGTGACTTGAAGGTTGCACAGCCATCAATGATGGAAGGAAGCAGGCAGTCTGACCCTGGAACTGTGCCCTTAACTAACTGTGCCCTTACTAACTCTTCCTTTCTAAGTCCAAATCCTAGCGTAGATGAATGAAAGAAAAGTGACTTCTAAGTAGCATTTGAATGGGATTTCTTATTGCTCCAGCACCTTCACAGAGACTGGTGTGTATGTAAGCATCCTTAGTGTATATGTACAGTATTTATAAATATGTAAGTATATAAAGTCCTTTCTTGAATGGATACAGTCAGGGAAAAATAAACTAGCATAAATGCAAAGCATTCTCCTTCATAATCACAGCATTTCTGGCTGGTTGGATAGAGAGAGGAGATAGGAACTCTACTGCTTACTGGCTATGTGTCATTAGGCAGATCCAAAACCTAACTGCACCGCACTTCCATTTCTTTATCTGTAAGATGCAGATGGTAATCACTTCATCATTTTAATGCACCCATTTTAGCAGCATGCCGACAGCATGGAGCTGTGGTTCTCAACTTTGGCTGCACATTGGAATCACCTGGGGACCTCTAAAAACCAATACTTGAGTCCCACCCTCAGAAATTGGGAATTAATTGGTCTGAGGGGCCTGGGCAATGGAATTTTTAAAAGCTCCCCAAGTGGTCCTATTATACAACCAGACTTGGAACCATTATCCTAGAACACCAGTTCTCAGTGTGTGGTCCCTGGACCAACAGCATCTGTATCACGTGGATCTTATTAGAAATTCAAATTCTCAGGCCCCAAACCTACTGGATCAGCAGCTCTGGGGGAAGACCGCAGCAATCTCTTTAACACACCCACCAGACAAACCTGATGCATGTTCAAGTTTGAGAGCCACTGTCCTAGAATAACAGATAACACTCAGCACAACTGTGATCAGTTCAGCTGTCCTCTCAGATGAGTGGTAACTCTAATACAGGCCAACTACCTCATGCTGTGACTAGGACCAGCAGGTCAGCAAGAGACCTAATGTCCAACTATATTGAGTTTTAATTTATTTTGCAAACCCTTATATAGACCTTATCCCGAGCCATGAACTGCTATAATTACTTTTTATGTATAACTCTTTTAATCCCAGTAAACAACCAAAGCACTGTTGTTATCCACATAGAGAACTGAAACACAGAAAGGTTAAGTCACTTGCTCAAGGTCACACAGTCAGTTAACATCAGAGCCAGAATTTGAACCCACGCGGTCTTTATTCATTGTTTAACAAATAAAATTAGTTTGTTGCTTTAACCACTCGGGAGTGAGGGCCCTCTATCAAAACAAATCCCTCGTAGAAAAAAAAATTGTAGCCCACCTGCCCACTGAGGGGCTCTGCAGCTTTTTTTCACTTTCCGCTTTCCATAACCCTGTCTTTGAGATTTCTTAAGTACCGAAGGCAAATTACTCATTAAAGATTTGCGGTAACCCTAACCTCTAAAACGTGTTAAGTGTAATATATATATATATTTTTAAGTGAGACAGAGTCTCACTCTCTCGCCCAGGCTGGAGTGTGGTGGTGTGATCTCGGCTCACTGCAACCTCTGCCTCCCAGGTTCAAGCTCAGCCTCCTGAGTAGGTGGGATTAGAGGCGCACACCACCATGTCCGGCTAGTTTTTGTAGTTTTGGTAGAGACAGGGTTTCACCATGTTGGCCAGGCTAGCCTTGAACTCCTGGCCTCAAGTGATCCACCGCCTCAGCCTCCCAAAGTGCTGGGATTACAGGAGTGAGCCACTGTGCCAGGACTCTTTTTTTTTTTTTTCCTTGAGACGGAGTGTCACTCTGTCACCAGGCTGGAGTGCAGTGGCACAATCTCGGCTCACTGAAACCTCTGCCTCCAGGGTTCAAGCAATTCCCCTGCCTCAGCCTTCTGAGTAGCTGGGACCACAGGCGCCAGCCACCACGCCTAGCTAATTTTTTTGTATTTTAGTAGAGACGGGGTTTCACCATGTTGGCCAAGATGGTCTTGATCTCCTGACCTCGTGATCCGCCTGCCGCCTGCCTTGGCCTCCCAAAGTGCTGGGATTACAGGCGTGAACCACTGTGCTCGGCCGCCCAGCCTCTTTTTTAAAGTTTGTGTTTGTGTGGAATGTGCACTAAAGATTTTGGGCAAAGTTAAAAATGGAAAGTTGCATGGCTTTAAGGGGGAAAGAGGCAAGACAGGTAGTGTTAAATGTTACCTGGGTGACATCACAGGGCCCCAAAAGATGCTCAGGACACATCAAACCAGTAGGCGGCGCTCTTCTCAGCCCTAACGAGTGTTTTTACGGTCACCCCAAAATAAAGCTTCTACAGAATAAAACTGTTTAAAATAACCATTGCTTATACAAATATAATCTTTCTGTTGCCCTTTCAGTACTATTTTAACCTCTGTGACTTTGTTATTGTTATGGAAATGATTTCCTTTCATTTACATTTCTGACCTCTCTGTTTACTTCACAGCAGAAAGACTATTCTAGTTTTCTATCAAGAAAAAGCAAGATTAAGACAGCTAAAGATGACTGCGTTTTTGGGAACATAAAGGAAGAAGACCTCTGAAGAAAACTCTCATATTTTAAAAATCCTTGGAGGCTATCTTAAGACAGTGAAAGAACTTGGGGATTCAGGTGGGCTACCTACCATCAATGGAGGAAATTTGACCTCTTCCCATTGTTTTGGCATTAAGATAGACTGTATTCATCAAGATATTATACCACAGCACTCTATGGATATCTCAAGATTAGAAAAAAAGGAACCATGTTATAGAGTTAGTTTTTATTTTATTTTTGCACTTCGTCATGACCGTATAGAGTTTGTTTTTAATGTCTCATAAATGACAAGTGGCAAATTCAAATCAACTCATATGAAGCTCATTCTATTTTTTCTCTAAAATACATGTTTATGTGGCTTCATGAAGTCTTTTAGGTGTTCTGGATTTACATAAATGAAAGTCTCATAAAATATCATAAATGTATTTTGGGTCAATTTCTAAAGATGTGACTCTTCAATGGAGGAAAATATGGCTCTAAGAAGTGGAATCACTGAAAAAGAAACCTGGGTTTCTCTGATCTATCCACACAGAATTAGAGCAAGGAGATGATGAAATACTGATTTGTTTCCTCACAGCAGTCTGAGCCTACCAATATGGATGTACTCAAAGTAAAAGGCTGCCCCGTTCTCTGCTTGACCATTGTTATGATTGTATTCTGTCCTTAGAGTACTGAAAGCAGTTCGATAATCAACATGCTATTTGGAATGTTTTAATTTGGAAAGCAGTAAGGCCCTGCACCTGATATCAGATACCTTGTAAGTCTCTTAGCTTTAAAACTATGTATACTTTCTCACAAGGTTTTTCCTTATCTAGCTTCATTTCTCTCATGGTAATTAATGTAATTATGTATAGAATTAAGACCACAGTAAAGGAGATGATCAGAGGAATCTGTATAGTGTAATTAGAAAAAGTGCAATATTCTAATGTTCTAACTGGGGTGTACACCTAATTATATAATAAATACAAAATATAGTGAATATAAAATTTGTTGATTAAAATTCCACGAATAATCTTTTTGAAATATAGAATATATTAAAAATTCTATAATATTTATAGACATATGCCTATAGCCGTAACTCCTAGTACTGGAAGTTTTTATTTTTAAATCTTAGGCTGTAGTAGGATGTTTTTGCAGAGACTCACAAACATGTCAAATCATCCTAAGTGAATGTATTAATGGACTAGGATCCTCTTCAGATTAAAATGGAAGTTTATCTACTATTTTGCCAATTTAAGAGTAGTCAAGCTCTCTCTCTTTTTAATAGCAAACACCTACACAATGGAAGAGGCTATAAGAGAAAACAGGAATGCAAAGAATTGTATTTGGGATAAGAAGACACATAAATTGAACCGTATATAACTGCTGTCCTTGTAGGCCAAAAATAGTTTTATGTTGACAATTTCATGTTTCAACTTGATATATAAGAGAGTGAGTAATCCCAGACAACATGTGGTTGGTATTAGAAGTGTGGTATGTGGGCCGGGCACAGTGGCTCACTCCTGTAATCTCAGCACTTTGGGAGGCCAAGGCAGGAGGATCACTTGAGCCCAGTAGTTCAAGACCAGCCTGGGTAACATAATGAGACCCAATATCTATTAAACAACAACAACAACAACAACAACAACAACAACATAGTGTGGACCTGCATGTCAAAGGAAGTCGGGGCCATCAGGAAAGCCCCAAGGGGAAGAGGGACTTTGAAGAATGAGTAGATCCATGTGAGCAAAGGTGGGGGCACCCTAGAGAAAGGGAAGGATAGTTACAGATGGGAGAATACTTGTGACATTGCAGAAAAAATGAGTAAACCTACTCTGTGCTAGCGCAGTTTTAGGTTAAGGGAGTAGTTAGGAGATAAAGGTAAGAAGTGGGATGGATGAGAAATATATGCATATCCTAATGCAGCATCTCCACAATATATGTAAAGCAGTTTATCCTTTGAGGATGACAAAAACAGAAGCATTTTATTTAATAGTTTTTTTCCCCAAACATTGAGATTATCATCAGTGTCAGAATATGAGAAGAAAAATACAATTGATGACATGCATTCTACGGCATATAATTATAACATGAAGAATAAAGGAACTAGGGTAGCACCTGATAAACAAAACAAAAATTCAAACAAAATTCAAAACTTATTTTGTAAAATGATACATTTCTTATTAGTTAAGTGAGAGAAGAAGGAGCTATTAGCCTTTTTCTGGGATTACTGGGCCTAGTTTTATCTAGGAATTTAGGAGTTTAAATCACTTCTGGATCAAAACACTTGATCATTGCGTAAAAAGTCAGAACTTCAGCTGCCAGAGTGAGCTCCCCAGCTGCAGGGACTGGGAGAAGATGGCGAGTGAGACCCCCTCATCACTCTGGGAGGTGAGGACCTCACCGTGCGGCAGTCCCTGCCACCGGCACAGCTGCCCCAGCACTGGAGAAGCCGTCAGCTGGTGCATGGCTTTATCAGGTAGGTGACTGTTGATATCCTTCAGTAACTGCTAATCCTAAGGGGTGTGACATGGCTTTGCCAATTACCAGCCTTTGTCCACAGATTCACTCCTCATATCCCTGCAAAAATGGTCCCCAGGCAGTCACATTTTCTCCTGCCATGTCTATGTCCACCATCACTTCTTTCCACTTCTAGACAGTCATATAAGATTTTACTGCTGTTTATACTCCTAAAATAACTAGCATAAGCAATTTGCCCACAGGCAAACACAACTGAGTTTGGAAATTTCACACAAACCATAATGAGAATAACTATTGGACAGAGGTGATTAAATTGTGGTCAGGCCCCACTGAGCCCCCTTGGACCTATGGAGGGAAGCATGTGCAGGTTTGATTGAAGAACTGACAGCAGAGAAACATGCTACAGGGAGTGGTAGTGTCCAGAAGAGTTCCACAATAACATGGAAATGGTTTCTAGGGGATCATGCCACCTGGGGAATGCAAGAAGGAGATACTCATGAGCAGGGAGCCTCTTTACCCCCAGGACTGACGCAAACTGTGAGGTGCTGCTGGTTTCTATAGACACTTGGACAGTGCCCTGTGAACAGCTCTTGATTGACCAACAAGGAGCTGCTCTGTTTACAGAAAGCATTTCCAAAGTGAATGGACAACATCCTCCTGTTTGGAAGGCTGCTGCTTTGATCAAAGAAGGTAAAAACATATCAGCTCAATGGGCTGAACTCCATGCTGTTTTTCTTACAGTAATGGAAGAACTGAACAGTAGTAGAAGCCCCCATGTTTGGGTTTTTACTGATTCATGGGCAGTGACCAATGACCTGGCCATACATTCAGGCAAGAGGACAATGGAAATCTGGTCTATTAAAGGAATGTCCATATGGGATATAGCCCTATAGAAATTTGAGGGGTGCGCTAAAGGAGAATAAGTCAATGCCCATCAGAAGAACTTCCTCCCCAGGCTGGGAAGGTGACTGGAATAGACAAGCAGCTATCTCTGTGTTTGCCCTTGTGGTCGCCACCTGGGTCCCTGAAGGGAGTCGATATAGGAATACTGCAGAGTATTATCTGTACTGCAGAGTACAGAGATGGGCTGAATCTAAACATGTTCATTTTGCATCCTTGCAGGCACAGAATGCCAATAAGAAGAACTGTGCTGTTTGTCAGCAAGAGAGACAGAAACTGTTGATGGCTATGGGGCAGATTGCCTGGTGGGAAGGCCCTGACCAGAGCTGGCAAGTGAGACTGATGCTGGTAGCCCTGGGGGGCTACAAATGGGTCTTGACAGGAATTAGATGCTGACTCTGGACTGGGCTTTGCTTCCTTAGTGGAAGATGAAAATGCTCAGAGCACCATAAAAAAAAAAAAAAAAAAAAACAAGAACTGAAGACATGCATGGATTTGTACAGACAACTGTCATTTCTTCAGACCAAGGAACAATGTATAAGCCATAATATCCAACGATGAGCAGAGAGATACCTCCTTAGAGTAATAGTTTAGTAATAGAGAAGTAGAACAAGTATAAAATGTTGGTTGTCTAGAACAGGGAGATAAAGTATGAAGGGCTGGCTTACACGCCTTCACAGGTAGGTGCTCACACTCAACATGAGTGGGACTAAAGGAGTGTACCCGCTAGATTTTTCTGGTTTTTAATTTTTTTTGGTTGATCTGGGGGAGAGGGGTTGGGGAGGATGCTGATAGCACTATGCAGTTCTTGCCAAGAGAGGAGTACACTGGTATAATGACTATAATTTTCTCTTTCTTCCCCAAATAACCTCAATTTTTTTTTCTCTCCTCTATCTGATGCAATGATCCTAGGACCAGGGCTACAACTACAAGTGCTGGAAGCAAGGATGATTTCTAAGCAAGAAGCTGTAACTACAGTTTTAAAGTTTGTATCTGAATTCCTAACGGGATAATGGGGGGCGGATTGTGCCTTCACCCCATCTAAGAAATTGGGATCAAGAGTGAATGCCGCTATGTTCTCTGGTGGCAAAACTAGCTCACTAGTTCTGCACCTGTGTAACCTTACTCTATCTGAATGGCAGCGGACTGAGGAGGAGCTGCTTGCTAGACTAATATTTCTGCCCACCATCTAAACCAGCACAGTGGCAATTCTAATGTCCCTTCCAAAGGTGAAAATGTTTGAGTATTAATGGAGAGAAGGAGAAATAGTAGCTGAGAGTAAAGAAAAAAATGGTGATTAATGGAAAGAAATTCAATATTACATTAACACCTCAAAAGAGTCTCAGAGCAAAAGATGACATGATGTCTCAGCTCGGTTATTCTAGATGCCTGAAAGGGTGAGGCTATACAGTTGCCAAGACCACTCCTGTTTTTGGCACCTGACAAGATTGAGAGGAAACCTGCAAACTTGAGTGACTTTACTCTGGGAGACATTCATACACTATGATGGACTGGACTAATTATTAATTACTACATGAGATTCTAGTAATAAGGCAGTATCTTTTAAATTATATATCCTTTTTTAAAAATTATTTTTCTGTAGAGACAAGGTCTTGCTATGTTACCTAGGCTGGTCTCAAACTCCTGGGCTCAAGTGATCCTTCTACCTCTGCCTCCCAAAGTGCTGGAATAACAGGCGTGAGCCCCCATGCCTGGCCTCTATATTCTTTTGATGTAAGGGATCTGTGTTTGAAAACCAGGGGGTGGCCTGATAGTTTAGAGTAATCATTTAGTAATAAAGAAGTAGAACAACTAATTAGAGCATTGGTTGTCTAGAATCGGGAGATAAAAGTATGGAGGGCTGGCTTACATGCCTTCACAAATATGTGTTCACACTCAACATGAAGGGACTAAAGGACTGTCCCCATCAGTGGCCGGTGGTGTTATGATATATATGTGTTTTCATCCATGGTTCCTGGCTTCTAACTCCTAAAATCCCTGGGACATATATATATATATATATGCTAACATCCTCCCCAGAACTAGGTCTCAGTCTACATCAGCATATGGTCAGCATACAGCTTGCACACATCCCTATATGGACATTTAAGCAAATTTTGCATTAAATATTTCAGTTAGAAATTATCTTAAGCTTACCCTCAAAGTAAATTTGAGACGAGCTTGGTGATCCTAATTGTGGAAAAAACAAGTAGATGCCAACCTTTGGTGGTAAAACAGTGGCAAAATGTTTCTAAAATACCAAACAAAGGAAAACTACAAAAGAAAACTCAGCAATAGAGGCAAGTCTACCTTCTCAGCTGCTGTTTTAGCTGTCCCTTGTCCTGCAGTGCGCATTCAGCGGCCCATCAGGCAGGCTGAGGGGAGTGGCTTGTGTGGACACAGGACTGTGGAAGACGGGAGTTCTCTCCTTCACAGGGTGGTCTCCTTCCTGTCACCCACAGTCCAAGAAAAACGTCAAAAAAGTAAGTACGATTTTCTGTTACACAAAAAAAGACATGCTGAGTTAACTTTAAAAAAGTATGGCTAACCAATGATTTCTTACAAGGTGGCTTTTGAGCTTTGTAATTGTACTTTCTCCCCCACTTTATTGAGGTATAATTATATT